TTTTGCACACGTTCTAGCATTGTACTATATCTATTTTCGTGCGTCGACCATATTACGGCGTTACATTACTAGATTACTTCTTACTTAATTAATTAAGATCTTACTTAATGAAGTAAGAAGTAATCTGGAAAAATAAAATTATTAATGTAAGAAAACCGTGAACTGTGCGAAGAATTAAGCCCAAGTTTCTATACGCTTTTTTGCAGCCATAGAGAATGTGTTCCCTAAATGATAATTCACTATTTAGCCGAATGTCTAGATCTTTAACTTCTTTAACTCTAACAATTGGCAAACCATCTACTTCATAGTTATATTAAAGCGTGCGCTTTCCAGTGAATGAAACGGTAACACACTTGGAGGTGTTTAGCTGTAAACGGCTATTTTTGCTCGATGCCACTACTCTGTTTACGCCCTTTTTGAAGGACCTGGAGGCGGAATTATACTTCTTTTAAGAACGCTGATGTTTACTTCCCGAGAAAGTACCACATCGGCAACAGAATCAGCATTATCCCTGGGATCGTTAGGCGAGAAGAAAACCCGCCTCCAAAAGGTAGGATAGGTAGGATGCAAAAAACCGCTTCCAATCACAATCGGTCGACCTATAGTGCCAAAGATGGTGGCGGTCTGCAGAAAACAACCGCGACGTTAATGTGACTGACCACACTCCGGACAAGACAATGTGATCCGACGAGCCTAGAGGGGCGTTGACGGAAACCTGATATCCGTCCGGATGAGAGGTTAGAAGAAGGTCCAACAGGGGAGTTATATGATCTTCCACATCTGGAATCCGCGTAGGAGAATAACCAGTTGTATCAGACCATATGACAAGGCAAAGTCATGAACAGATCTCCTGCATGATCGGTTAAACGTGAAACGTACCATTCGACGTAGCAGGCGTTAAAATCGCCAAGGATAACGATCTCTCCGGATGGGATCTGCTGTAGCACGGAATCTGTAGCCATTTGGACGTGGTCGATAAGTCTGTCTGTTTCAGAGTTACCACTATGGGACCTATAGATGCACTCGTAGATGCGAGGATGGCCGTCGCTGTCTACGCGCAGCGCTCTAGGATGGACAGATCCGTATCTTCAAGATTGCTAAGGCGTCGAAAACAGATGTCTTCTCTGACGTATACGCAAACTCCAGCCCGGGACACAAAAAAGTGATCTATTTTTTACCCCGGGTAGGAGAGATATGAAGTATTAGCTAGAGGGGTGTCTTCAAGGCAAGCGAGGCCGACTTCGCCGTCTCCAGATGCTAGTGGACAGCTTTAAGATTGGATTAAACTCCCATGTTGTTGCAAAGATTCACGAATAGCGTGGCAGGGATCGCCTTGGTGTTGTTGCTCCGCTTGCCCCAAGCAGTTTTAGTCGCGAGGGGGATTACACCCCTCAGAATACGCGGGGCAGCCTGAGCACCTAGGCTCTGGAAGAGTAGGATAACTTGGTCGTGGATGCTCAGCAAGGGATTGTCCGTCACCAGGGGTGCTGGTACCCTCCTGGGTTTTGGGGAATTGGGCCTCCAGCCACCTGCACTTACCAAGCGAAATGAAGAGGTAAATCTTTACTTCACGCTGGTATTCTGTAAGGTCGTGGTACCCTGGTTTGAGTCGGCCCGTCCGTGCGACGGTAAAAGCTGCCGCGTGACTCTGCCACTGTTAAAATGTACCATGTAAGGTAAGTCATTATAATATACAAGAAACAGAAAGGGGCCGATAATTGAGCCCTGAGTACGCCCATTTGTACTATTGACCAGGAGGTACTCATACTATTGATAACAACGTTTTAAGTTCTGTTACGTAAATATGAAATTATTAATTTAAGAGCATCATTTCTTACACCGTACCGTAGTGTTGAAGTTTCTTTGTTTCATCGTAAAAACAATCGATGGCTTTGAATGGGTCGCATATGACTCAAAGTAGCAAGAATTCACAAAGCATCCTGTGAATTCTCCCATGCATTGAAGATATATTTATGCAGTTCAACACTAGCATAAGTTGTCGAGCGACCCCTTGCGATACCGAATTGATTTTTATGTAGTAAATTATTTACGTTAAAAAAATTAACATTTAATCAAGAATAATTGTTTCAAAAATGTTAACAAGTGTTGGCAGTACAGAAATAGGTCTAAAATTAGCTTTTGTCCAATGCACTACCAGATTTAAATAAAAGTATTAATTTACCATGCTTGATCAAATCAGGAAACAGACCAGATTCGATACTAGTATTAAAAATAATAGATAGCGGTTGTATCTATTATAGACGCAATAACTTTCTTGAGAATCCCCTACAGTTTTGCGGTTTTCTTAATATCAATAGTTTTAAAATATTTTGCACTATATTTTGATGATACCTTTATGAAATGTAAAATTATTTGTACCTACACGCATCTGGGGTCAAAATTTCTTAATTTTGTCACTCACTGACTGACCGATCATCAAAACTCTAAGGCACTTCTAGCAGACATAGAACCTTCAAATTTAGAATACAATTAGTGTTTCGTATATAAATTAAGGGAAAACTAAAATATTTTTTAATTTCGGTCCAGTTTTCTAGATACATTAACTGCATAAATAACTTTGTAATCACATATAAATATATAGAATTACAGAGTTATATTTGCAGTGAATGAATCAGTGGACTTGTATATGTATAATAGGTGCAGATAGGTACGTTGTTGGTGTTCAAGAAGTAGAAGGTACCGGAAAGGAAAAAAAGTAGGACTATCTTATCTACAAAAAGAAATGAGATGCCAGCAAAAACATAACTTATAAAAAAAACAAGTCTCGCAACTCAGTTCTTCTACCGTAAAAAGTTGTGAGATCCATGTAATACCAAGTCGGTTAATTTATTCAGTCCCTACTTAAGGGTCCTTCTGTTTTAAGTTATTACGTAATTAGCTAACCTAAAAATATTTTATAGTGACCATATCAATGTTAAAATCTTTTATGTTTTAAATATATAGATTGACTTGACAAAATTAAAACTTGTCCTAATCTGATTTAGTTAATTTGTTGTTTTACTTTGAAAATTATTTAACTAATTAATATAATATTTAACATTATAATAAATAACTTAACTAAAATAATAATTAAAATTATAATATTTACGATTAAAACTAATTATATATACAATATAAAAGAAGAAACTATAATATAGAAAACCTAAAAGTAAAAATTTAAATCGTCAAAAAGACCTGCTCCCCGTGGTATAGTGCCAAGAACGCTGGCTGCGTTTCCTCGCTGAATAGCTATACTTAGCCTTTGAGCGAGGAAAGAACCAGCCCTCTTATCACCAGCAGCGACGACCAATCGTGGATACAGTTCCTTTAGAAACTTCATTGCACGTGGACCCCACGGACCGATAGTCTCTACAGCAAATGGCACAAATATGTAGTCATTTCTCAAAGACTCATATTTGCGCCATTTACTAAATTCGGCTGCCTCTGATGCCGCCCCGGCTCTACAACAGGTACCCTTGAGATGAGAGGCCGCCAAAGTGTCAACGCAAGTAGCATTCCACACTAGGGCTTTACCTCTCTCCCAAGGGACCAAAGTCATACCGTCGGGTCTCTTGCCATCGTCTCTAAATATCCCGCAAGGCTCTAAAACCGAGGGGATATTTATAGAGACAAGAGCCCTTCGGATGATTTCGTTCAAAGAACCGTGACGGGAAAACCTACCTGCACTTTTTTGGCATGAAAGTCCGTGGAGCCCAAACTCATCGACGCTGCTACCACAGGGGCACTGGTGAGGTTGACAAATAGCCACTCCTAGCCGGATTCCTACGGCGATGCGCAAGCTTTCTCCATCAAGCAATGTGCCGAGATTACTTGATGGTAGAGCATGTAACCAGTGGCTAGATTCCTTAGTCGAAACAGCTAGAAGGCGAGCCTGATCTTGTTGAATATGGAAATTTTGAAATAAATTTTTGTGGACACTCCGTACCAACGGAATATCCCACTGTTTTTGTTGGTTAACTTCCAGTGGGACATTTTCGCCGGGACAGAGCGTTAGCCATATTTGCTTTGCCTCCGCAGCAAAGCATAGGTCTACTTTATTATTTAAAATTGTGTTACATAGGTCATTGACACTATGCACGGAAGCAAGGAAAGCAGGCAATGCGACGCTAGAAATATTTCTTATACCAATTCCACCAAATTTGATAGGTAAAGTGGCTTGATTCCAGGCTATTGTATTTAATCTCAAATTTAGAATGTTTTCTAAAGCAATTTTAAGACTATTATCAATATCTTTTAAAATATCCGAACATTTCCAGACTGGACTTGAGCGTAACAAGTATGTAAATTTAGGTACAAGGACACAATATTTTAAAATAGTAAGGGCAATATGGGGGGTTTAAAATATATAATTTATCAACGTGATTTAAAAATTGATCAATTTGTTGTTAAAACTTAGCTGGTAGTTTAAATTGGGAGAGTTGGCCTTACTAGTTTCACTACTAATTATACTCCATGTCATTTTAATTTTATTAGAAGCCGTCTTTATTTTATTTCTCAAATGCAAAGACTTGGCTATGTAGCACACTATTTTAAATATTTTTTACATATTCCCTAAATTCGACGATAGATTTACATGAAATTTAATTGTAAAGTTTATTATGAACTTTATCGACCTATACGTAGAACAAAGTTACATGTGAATATGGAACTAAATCATTATTATTGTATTTTTGAGTCTAAATAAACCTATTTATTTAACTAGTGAAATAATTTTTTTCTTAAATTAGTATGTCCGAAGATTACAGTCGAATAATGGCACATATGGTTTTTCCCTCCAAAGAACAACGTTACGACATCACATGTGTCACTAACCTCTGTCGGCATTGGCTCCAATTGGCTCAAAGGAGCCGCGCGCGCCGAGTCATATATTCAATCGCGCCTATATTCTGGGGAAAGACGGTTGTGCGCATGTCTGTTCTGTACACAGTTTTTTTTACGTATTGTAGAATCATAATAATAATAAAGTTTATGTACTTAAAATGAAAAGTACACGTTCTAAACATATGTTAAGTCTACTATTAAGACCGTTGGATAAAATGAAAACTGCATCTGATCCTGCGGAAAAAAGTTTAGAACAATTGGAATTCTCAGGTAAGTTAACCTAATTATTTTATGTTAACTGTTGTATGTTGAGTATAAAGATTACTTTACCATAACAATTTTTTTTATATTTCTTATTAACAAAAGTTTTACTCACAACAATAAAGTTAAATGATCCCATAAGCACATAGGATTTTATTCCACATACAATTTACCTTTTCTTTAAAAACAAATAAAAATTAGGATGAAATTATGTCTATTAAATGTTTATTAAAATGTTTTGGTAACCTTTTAGTATTCACAAATGTGGTTATATATTCGAACATATTATGTTATACCTCAAAAAATTACGTAAACAATACTGGTCTATGCACACATGTCACTTTGTTCGGGGGACATTATTTTGAAACTATATGGTCTATATGTAAATGTAACTTTATTCTTAGTGAGAAATTGAGATATACCTTTTTTCCAACTCTGAATTACCATGAAAGCATGAAAAAAATAATCTTATTTTTAGATTAATTATTTATTTAGAACTACTTACGATTAATATTAGTTATTTATTTGGTTTGAGTGAGGCAATCTTTGAAATATATATATATATATATTTTTAGAACATAACATGTACAATCGCGCAGTTATTACCCAATCGCCACTACCGCAAGAAGCTGAGAACATCCATCAAGATATGGCTGAGATATGGGAGGACGTGTTCGGTCCACCACATATTCCGCCCGACGTTACCTCTGACGAAACTAGCCTAAAGTCACTGCGTGTAGTTGAAAATTCTACAGACATCAAATCAATTCCATTAAAGTCTGCAGATAGCGAAGAACTAACACCTTTGGCAATTGAAGTACCTTCCAGTTTTGAAAATTCACCCGAAATCGGCTTTGGAGACTTGCCTTCGGTTTCAGCACCTAATGTCCCGACTCCTATCCCTTCGCCATTGAACTCACACGCAGATTGCCATGATTCCTTTTGTTCTATCCATGAGAATTGGACTCAGTCGCCTTCAGATACTAACACATCTAGTGCACCTAACAATTCTAGTGATGATGAATGCTCTGCATCAACCAAGAAAAGAGCAAAGAAACGAGTACGCCTTACATCTGAATGGTCGGACGTCAAAAGAAAGTGCCTTAAGAATATAGGTAAAAAATACGTAACCAAAAAGGGAAAAATAGTCGATGACAAAACTTTAGGCGTACCGTGTAAATGCCGGTATCAGTGCTATAAAAAGATATCTCATGACCAAAGATACGATTGTTTTCAGAGGTTTTGGAGTTTGGGAAGCCGGGAAAAACAATGGTATTTTGTAGTTAGGTACTCTAAAAAGGAGCAAAAGAATAGATGTTTAAATCGAGAGGTATCCAAAAATCGGAAATATACATTTAAATACTTTCTGCCAGTATCAATACCCAAATCAAACCAGAGCCAGAATGAAATGGTTAACGTTTGTAAGACTATGTTTTTGAACACGCTGTCCGTTAGTGGCAAAATTATTAAAACAGCTTGGGATAAATATGATGGCAGTACTATTATGGAAGAAGATAAGAGAGGACGCCATGCAAACCACTATCAAGTAATAAAGCCTGACACGGTCAAAAGTGTATGTGACCACTCTTTGCTCCTATTGAATCACATTATATACGCAAAACTTCGACAAAACTTTACCTGGATGGCAGTCTCAGTATCTCAAAGATGTTTCAGCTATATAAAGAATGGTTTGATGCTTCGATTTATTCGAGTATGGCTGCTACTGAACGACAATATCGAAACATTGTCAATAAGCATTTTAATTTGGGATTCTTCATTCCCAAAAAAGATCAGAGTGATACTTGTCATGTTTTTGGAAACAAGACTGATCACACTAACGAAGAAAGACTGGATTATGAAAAACATTTATCACATAAAAATTCAGCTCGTAAGTTAAAGGATCTCGACAAACGTGCTGCCATTGAATCAAATGGTACGACACTGGCAGCAGTTTTCGATTTTCAAAAAAGTTTTATCGTGTCCTCATGGTCAGGTTAGTGTGTTTTATTATAAGCGAAAACTGTCTTGCTTAGAAAAGCAGTTTGCTATATGTGGGATGAGACAGTGGCAAAAAGAGGGGCAAATGAAGTAAGTAGTTGTTTGTTTGACTATATTGAGCAGAATGTAAGAAAGGAAGTTACAGAGTTCAGGTTTTGGTTGGACAATTGCGCCGGGCAAAACAGAAATCGTTATGTGTTCTTTCTCTATGTTTATTCGGCTTCAAAGTTTAACGTGACTATAAGACACCGGTTTCTCGAGAAAGGTCACACTCAGAATGAAGGAGACAGTGTGCACGCTCTTATTGAACGAGCAGCCGAGAAGAAAACCATTTACACTCCAGACGAATGGCGTTTGCTTGTTCGTTGGGCCAAATGCACAGGAGAACCCTATGAAGTCCGTAACATGACACAAAATAATTTTCTTGAGCTAAAAGGTCACGTAAACAACAAAGTCTGGTGCAAAAATACAGAAGGCGTAAAGGTTTCATGGAGCCGTGTCAAAGAGGTATTTGTAGATAAATCAGAGCCTAATAAGCTACTATATAAATATGATCTCAGCGAAAATCATTATTTTACCGTTTTAATACGCTCAAATACACGCAATGCTTCTACTTTTTTCCCTACTCTAGAACTGGCTTACAAAACACCTATCAATTTACCCAAAGATAAATATAAGGATCTCATTAGTTTAGTCGATTCTGGAATAATACCTTCCCAATACGCAGATTTTTTTACATCTCTGCCAGTGAGCACAAATAATGTTAGCATTGTCAATAGCGATAGTGAAGATGACTGATTTAATATTTTTAATGCTCAATGTTTATTTTTATTTTTTTAAATTAATGGTTTTTTATTCAATAATGAACCCTAATGCTGCGGTTAGAATTTAATTATAAAAGAAGAATGCGCTTATTGTTTTTATTTTCATTAATTAATTAGTATTTACACTATTTAATCTTTGGATATAATTTAATTTTATATGTTTGTGCATTGTGTATCACGTCTAAGTTTTACGTTCTAATATAAATAAAAAACTTTAAACTTTAGTTAAAAGTTATACGTCATACTCTCGTATTAGTTACTGATATTATTATTACCGATTTTTTTTATTTTTGTTACTATTTCTTATAGTTCCTTTAAAATAGGTTAGACGCCCAGTACTTAGTTTGTTGATTTTATAATTTTTGATTATTTTGTTCCTATTTGTTGATATTAAAGTTTATAAGTCTAATACACAGTAAACATTATAGAAATAAGTTACATTTAGTTACACACTGTGAACTATTGATTAATAAAACCCTAACGACAAAAAAAAACCTTTGTAATTTACTTAATTCGCATATACCTTTTTATCATGAAGACCTTATGGTTGTGTATTTACTTATAATAAAGACATATGTGCGCATTTAACCAACATTTTTCCAAAGAATAAGGTTATATATCTATAAGCCGTGTAGTGGCGGTTAAGAATATCCACTACCCCATATCTTCCCGTGGGTGTCGTAAGAGGCGACAGAGGGAGACAGGCAGGAGATGGGCAGCAGCGTCTTCCTGATGACAACTGTGACGTAATAAAAAACTGCGGTTGCCAACCCGCTCGCCAAGCGTGGCAACTATGGCAAATACCCCCCAATGAATAAATACACAAACAGACGGCCCCCAGTCCCCGGCGGCCCCGCTATTCCTGGCTACGGTGGCGACCATGGTAACGGCGGGGCAGGGGGTGCTAAGAATCTCCGGTGGAGGTTCGGTTGCCACCTACGACGACTCGACCTGGCAACATATAACGCACGCACCCTGAGGACTGACGAGAAGATACTGGAGCTGGAAGAAGAGGTAGACAAGTTGCGCTGGCATATTATTGGATTATCCGAGGTCCGAAGAGAGGGGGAGGACACGGCAATCCTCGAGTCCGGCAACTTGTTCTATTACCGGGAGGGCGACCATCTGTCCCAAGGAGGTGTCGGATTTATCGTCCACAAATCTCTCGTCAACAATGTTGTAAAGATTGGGAGTGTGTCGACGAGGGTCGCGTACCTGATACTCAGAATCACCAAACGGTATTCGCTGAAGGTCATTCAGGTTTACGTACCAACCTCGGCACATCCCGATGAGGAGGTGGAGGAAATGTATGAGGATATTTCCAGAGCCATACATTCCTCCAAAACCTACTACACGGTGTTGATGGGAGACTTTAACGCAAAACTGGGCACAAGAGAAAGCGGTGAGCTGAAGGTAGGGAAATTTGGAGTAGGGCAACGGAACCGAAGGGGCCAGCAGCTGGCCGACTTTATGGAGAAAGAGGAACTCTTTATGATGAACTCTTTCTTCCAGAAGCGGCCCCACAGGAAGTGGACCTGGTCGAGCCCCGACGGTTCGACAAAAAATGAGATTGACTTCATTATGACGACCAGACGCCAACTGTTCAGTGATGTCTCAGTGATCGCAAGGGTGAAAACTGGCAGCGATCACCGAATGGTTAGAGGCACACTGAACCTAAACGTTAAGTTGGAGAGGTCTCGTCTAATGAAGTCAACGCTCCGTCCCCCTCGTGCTCTAATCCAGAATCCCGAAACCTTTCAGCTCGAGTTACGTAACCGCTTCCAGTGCCTAGAAGATTGCAATGCAGTGGACGATATGAACGACAAGCTCGTGGAAACTGTCCATGCGGTCGGAGCTAAGTTCTGCAAGACCCGCCGCAGAAGAACACAAAAACTCTCCGATCACACTCTTAATCTCATGGCTGTTAGACGGGAGATGAGGCTGCAATCGTCAACAGATTTGACAGCATACAGGCAACTGAACAGACAGATCTCCAAATGCATGCGGCGAGACTTACGCAACTTTAATACTGCTCGTATTAAAGAAGCGATCGAGCGGAACCAGGGCTCCAAAGTCTTTGCCAGAGATCTGTCTACCAGAAAGAGCCAACTGTCAAGGCTGAAGACTGAGTGTGGCAACATCGTTTCCGGGACACCTGAGATTTTGAGTGAGATTGAGAGGTTCTATGGGCAGCTGTACACATCATCGTTGGAGCCACACGCAAGTGTGAGTAACGATCCAAGAGCAAGTCTTATCCGACACTATTCCGATGATATCCCGGACGTCAGTCTAAGCGAGATTAGAATGGCTCTCCAGCACCTTAAAAACGGCAGGGCCCCAGGCGAGGATGGAATTACAGCGGAGCTTCTGAAAGCGGGTGGAACACCGGTACTTGAAGTCCTTCAGAAGCTCTTCAATTCCGTCCTCCATGGTGGCACTACTCCAGAGGCGTGGAGCAGAAGTGCGGTGGTCTTGTTCTTTAAGAAAGGCGACAACGCTCTCTTAAAGAACTACAGACCGATTTCCCTTCTGAGCCGCGTCTACGTGCTGTTTTCGAGAGTCATTACGAATCGTCTCGCACGCAGACTTGACGACTTCCAGCCTCCCGAACAAGCCGGTTTCCGAAAAGGCTTCAGTACCATAGACCACATACATACCCTGCGGCAGATTGTACAGAAGACTGAAGAGTACAATCTGCCACTTTGCCTGGCGTATGTGGACTATGAGAAAGCCTTTGATTCCGTCGAAATTTGGGCGGTGCTACAGTCCCTTCAGCGGTGCCAAGTTGACTGTCGGTATATCGAAGTGCTGAAGTGTTTGTACAGTAGGGCTACGATGGCTATCCGAGTACAGAACCAGAGCTCGAAACCTATCCAACTGCAGAGAGGTGTAAGACAGGGTGACGTTATATCCCCGAAACTCTTCACCGCTGCATTGGAAGACGTTTTCAAGCTACTGGACTGGAAAGGATACGGTATTGACATCAATGGCGAGTACATCACTCACCTTCGATTTGCCGACGATATAGTCCTTATGGCAGAATCGCTGGAGGACTTAAGCACTATGCTCAATGACCTCAATAGTGCCTCCCAACGGATAGGTCTTAAGATGAACATGGACAAAACAAAGATCATGTTCAATGTCCATGTCACACCTATGCCGGTAGTTGTTGGGAGCACTATGCTCGAAGTTGTTGACGAATACGTTTACCTGGGACAAATAGTCCGACTAGGTAAGTCCAACTTCGACCGAGAGGTCAATCGACGGATTCAACTCGGCTGGGCAGCGTTCGGGAAATTACGGCATATCTTTTCGTCAGGTATACCTCAATCTCTAAAAACTAGATTTTACAACCAGTGCGTGTTGCCAGTGATGACTTACGGATCTGCGACGTGGTCCTTCACTGCTGGCCGTATGAGGACGCTTAAGGTCGCTCAGCGAGCTATGGAGAGGGCTATGCTCGGAGTTTCTCTGCGTGATAGACTCAGAAATGAGGATATCCGCAGTAAAACCAGAGTGACCGACATAGCCCAACGGATTAGTAAGCTGAAGTGGCAATGGGCCGGCCATATAGCTCGAAGAACCGATAACCGATGGGGAAGAAAGGTTCTCGAGTGGCAGCCACGTACCGGTAGGCGTAGTGTAGGGCGACCCCCCACTAGATGGAGTGACGACCTGGTAAGACATGCAGGAAGTCGATGGATGCAGGTGGCTCAGGACCGTGCTTTGTGGCATTACTTGGGGGAGGCCTATGTTCAGCAGTGGACTTGTGAAGGGCTGTAATGATGATGATGATGATCTATAAGGAACCTACAGACATCCAAAATAAAACGTCACATATGCATATAGGACAGGCTAGATTTTAAAATACAGTTCTTTAATTAACGATTTTAATGAATATCCACGCCTTATCATAGTCTATAGTACATACCAAAAAACTAATCGTCTAGTTTAAATAACAAAAAAGTTAGAGTGAAAATTGTGCAAGACTGTCTTCAAATCGCTCTCCTGTAAAGTAAAGGTTTTGCAAATGTTACTTTATTCTACGGATAGGTCGTTATATTCTTAATAAAGAGCCACCTCTTAATTCTCTATTGAAAGAACTGACCACCTGGTGACTACCGAAGTTAAACATTAAGTTATAAGCTTTTTACCATCGTTCAGTAATACATAAAATATGAATATTGTTGCTATTTAAGCACAGTTCTATTTCGAGGCTATCGCCTACTTTATCTTTGTATAACCTTTGACCCACAAAATAAAAAGGTTTGCTGAATGGAAATCAATACTGACCGTAATCGATGTTCTTTGTAATATAAAGTAAGTTGATACTCGTACGTAAAACTAGTTAAACTAACATATCACTTGTACACTTGTAAACCTGGTTTTGAGTCACATTCGCATTACGTGAAAAGAAGTATGTGTGTCTTCTTTTCAAATATTTATCTCACAGGCGTACACACACAGGTAAAGTCACTATTAATATTCAAGCTTCCCCACAGATTGCCTCGCAGATACCGATTACATCATAGTTGTCACGTTGGACAAATGAGATGGCAACCGCAATTTTTTTATAGTATAAGGGTGACAAACAAGCACATAGCCCACCCACCTGATGGTAAGTGGTTGTTGTGAGCCATAACATCTACATCTATCCTCGATAATGAATCACATGCAGACGCGTTGTCACGAAAGAATTTCGTTAAGACGAAATGCCTCGTTTCCAGTAAAAAAAGTTCTCTACACTCATCATACGAAACACAGCAGCATTGCGATGCTATTTCACGCTAGTATTCTCTGAGAGTGTGATCCTTCCCCGGTCGAGCCGACCCATTCGTGGTACAACTATACTACTAAAATAGCTGCAGTATGGGTCTACCACAAAATATATTATTAATTTCATTTATTTTTAGGAAAATGCTGCTGTACATCTCCTATTTCGCTTTCCTTTGTCGCCACTTAGAATGAAAACGGGATTATATGGGACAGTGGATTCTCTTACACCGCCATTATACTTTTAATATAGGTAAGTAACTAGAAACATTTTGGGAGTGTATTCAGTCCTTCAAATAAAAATCTCCATCTTTTTCACTAGCAGTCATAATAATCTGAGACGGCACTGTCTTAAAAACATGCGAAACATACCGAAGCCTACATCACACTATCAAAATTTCAAAGTACTGTGCGCTATATAGAAAACAGCTCTGCACTAACATACGAAGCTTTGGCCGTTCCACGGGCTGAACACCTTCCTGGTGAGAGATTTCCGCTTTACTTTGCACGGCTAAATTGGCAGTCGACCAACGTGATTTGAACAAGCAACATGCAACCTTCGGAAACCTTAACTTTCAAACTTTCGTCATCGTCGTCAAGTACCCCATCAATTTGTTCTCGAGCAGACATTGTCTGTTCAAAAACGATGCCTAAACCACGCTATCAAAGTTTCGAAGTACTGTGCGCTATATATAGCAGCTCTGCACTAACGCACGGAGCATTGGTCAGAAAACCTTGCCCGGTGAAAATCTTTCGTTTTCTTAAAAAGTTCATCGCGTAAGTACTTGATGGATCAATAGTCTCTGCAGCGAAGAGCGTATGTAATCTCCTCAGTATTTGTGTAGTGTGGTGGCGACGGAGGACATTTCATTCAATATGTGCCCTAAAGCTAAGAATTGGCGATCCGTATTAGAGTCTTTTTAATTATCATGGTTTACAGCGAATAGGTTCACTACATCATATCAAAAGTACACTGCTGAATATTGGCCATCCATATAGATTGCCTTATAGGGGGCATGTTTGCCATAGTTGCCACGCTTGGCTGTTTTCTTTAAAAGTTTGAAGATATGAAGCAAAGGTCGACAAGCGTAGAGAACATGTAAAATCATTCGTATTGTTGGTGACATAGATTTTTAAGTAGGTGTATATATTTGAGAGTTGGCATTGCCATATCTAGCTGTAGACTATGTATTTGATAATGATTATGATGTTTACCGTGTAGTGGCTGTGTAAGAATAGATTTTCATTACCCCATTAGCCCGTGGGTGTTGAAGGAGGCAACAGAGCAAAACCAACCAGGAGATAGGCAGCAGCGTCTTCCTGCCAAGCTACCAACCCACCTGCAAACGTGGCAACTATGGAAAATATCCGTCCTATGAAGCAACCTATGGTAGAGACCTAGCAGTGGACTTTAATCGGCTGTAACGAACGGTAACGGATGATGACTTAGGTAGTTTTTGGTACGTTAATGATAATGTTAGATATAAACTTTTACTTAATTTACTGAATGATAATTTGTACTAAGTATTTCTGTTTACTGTATTGATCTTGCTAAGAAAGTCAACCTCATTTGATCTGTAAACATGGTGTTGGTTTACTCTTAATTGCATTCTACCTCCGCATTGAAGTTAGAATAGAACTTCCATTTTAACACCTGGTTGTCCTCTTGAAAATATGATTATGATTAGTCGGAATATGGTGCAATGTAAAAGAGTTATTATCTCCGGCTCAACCGGGGAAGGACCTCGCAGAATATTAGCGTAAAATAGCAGTTTAATTTTGCTGTATACGATACATGTGTACAACATACGAAAATGGTTAGTATAGAGAAGAGACCCCTTTAACTGGAAACGGGGTATTCCATTCATCAGGGGTGGCAACGCTTTCTGTATTTTCCTTCTTAATCAAGGATTAGATGTACGAGTAGATGTCTATGGGCCACAACATTCGTTTATCATAAGGTAGGATGTGTGCTCGTTTGTCACCCTTATTCTATAAAAAAGACAACTCATTCGACAAAATAAGAATTTACTTTTATATTGTCGAATAAGTTGGTGAATTTGTGGCAATAATTACTTATCTTTATATACATCAGTAGAGGCGTTTTAATGTAAATTTATACAATGACAACAAAATAGAAGCATCGACACAGCTCGCCGGCACGTTATCGCAACAAGCATCATTAGCATGCAGGGAGCTGTACTGGCGATAACTTAGCGCGTGGGCGCCACTACGTTCCAGAATTTATCGAGCGTGCCTGACGCTAAATTAAAACACCTTCGTTGGTGCTTTATCCAAAATACTTTATTCGATCCATTATATTCAGAGCTACAAAGTTTATATAACGATTATAATCATAGAAGTCAGATCGGGTATTGCTCTTACGAGTAAAGTGCATTAGATTCTGTCGAAACAATTAGGTGGAGTGCTTTAATTGTGGAAGCTCTGAGAGCTCGGCTAATATCGCGTTATCTAATGATGATTGAAGTATAACATCGGATCTGATCGTGTCGTTATGTAGGCGGCGAAGTGGCAGCCCGTGAATGGACGGACGCAAGATCGATAGAGCGGAGTGCGCAGGTCCGCCTCGGCGGCGTACAGCTGGCGGCTTCGCAGCCATCCGCGACCAACGCGCTTCGACCTGCGTCTCAGTGCCTAACTGTGACGGACTTAAGTGATCTGCTTTGCAACGGAAATGTTTTGGACTGACTGGCTGCTCTAAACGGTGCGTACCATACGACAATTCTAGGATATTCATTTGCTAGAAATGGTTTAAACATAGGATTAAGAGGGCGGCATTGTCTACGTCTTTTTGCTGTGAAACCTGTTACACCATATCTTGCACGTTATGGTAAATGTAGTGTTGTGTTTGTTTATCAATGTTTTTCCTTCAGTAAGTACATTAACATTCAAATTTAATTTCAGCTTTTAAACATAATAATAATATGGATTTTCCATTTCATAATTTTTAATGTACACCAATTTTTAACGGCCTAAATTTTTTGTCAATAAGACTATTTTAATCATAGACTAAAAATTAAAATAAATCAATATCAGTCACTCACATACAAAGGAATGCATGAAGCAAACAAAAATTTTGCAACCTGAAAATAAATTGAATATACATTTTCATTTTTAAACCATGGACTGCGTGGGATGAAAAGGGCAGAGATGCCTACGTCACAAGCGTCAATATAGGTAGCTATCTATAGAATGTTGCGGGATAGCAAAAGCTAAAACTTATTATACTAATGGTAATACAATAAAGCAAGTTCCCTTAATCCATAAGTGAATCGAAAAACTAAATTAAATATATAGGTTTTTTGCGTGTAGTCTTGATAAATAGGTACTTTTTAATTGATTCGACGTATTTTTTGTCGTTCGTTTGCTAGTTATTCAAATTTTTTGCGATAACATTTAAATACTTTAGAATTACATAAATGATTTCTTAACATGAATATTTTATTTTATTTTTGGCTCTTTGTAGCTGATAATTTTTAATTTCATGAACCTAATTTATTAAATATGAGTTTCAATTATTAAAACATATGTTTATTGATTTTCATTTCACTTTAAGTTTAAAGTAGATCATTTTATATTTAACTTGTAATTTACTTTTACAATAATGTTAAACTTGGTATAAAGTCTTGAAATTATATAGGTACTTATTAATAGAAGTACAATTTCCCTGATTTGTGTAAGTGTTTATAGTTATTTATATATTCCCAAACTTATTTTTTTATATAAATAAATTCAACTATCTCACCATTGATAACCGGACTGTGAGCAACTCGAGTTTGCATCGGCATCACTAAAGCTGTTCAATTTTTAAAGCTGATTTATCATGTGCTTGGCGGTGAAGAAAAACGCATACATATGTGTACATAAGCTCTCACACCTGTCATCCAGAGGGATAGGTAGAAATTATGGATTTCTATTTCGCACGAACATGACATCTTTCTCGCCTCCTTCACATCGCCATATCTACGTATCATGCTCATCGGTTAAGGGACGTCCCACCTTCAATATATCACCAATTCGATCGATTAATTTCTAATTAAGGTGTCCCTTATCAAATCAGACTAACTTCTGCCGCAATTTGTGTTCTCATTTTATCTTCGTTAATACTTTGTACGGGTCCAAATTACTGAAGCATTTCTTTCCTAAATTCTGTTCACAACTTCTTGCAAAGCACACTTTTCTCTTATCACAGAATTTCCCACTCTGTTCTGATTTCCTTCACGTAACACTTCTTATACATTTTTGTTTAATAAATTATTTAAACTTGGTAATAGAGAGACCTTGCATACTTTCTGGCACTTAGTTGTAATAGCGTATACATTGTCTCAAGAACGAATTACTGACTCTGTGGAGTCGAGAAACTGGTATCACCATCGTGTGTTTGTTCCTAGTGTTTACAGAGTGTATATCACTATTTTTACTAAAATTATTTTTGTTTTTGTAAATATACATTAAATTTTCGTAAATATATGTATTGAGAGGCCAAAGTTTATATATTTATTTCTTTAAATTTTTCTCTGACTGTCGCCCTCGGTTTTAGTTTGTTAATAACTCTTATGGCCCTAAGAGCCGCATTTCCCCATAGCAAAATCCCAAAAGACATTATGCTATGGAAATAACTGAAATAAACTAATCCGACCAAGGTCTCACTAGTGTCAAGACATAATATTTTTACAACATAAGCAATAGACCTTAGTGTGCTTGCTAGTTTAGACAAATGGGGGCCCTATTAATTCCTTTAGTCGAGAGTGATGCCAAGTAAAACAGTGGATTCAACAGGGTTTAGTTTTTCCCCATTTAAAACACATTGGTATTTAAATTTTTAACATTCATTTTTATTGCAGTTTCAGAGTAGACTATTAGCATTAAACACATGCGTTAATTTTGATTTAGAATTATTTCGATTCGTCACATTTGAATTATTGGCGTTTAAGTTTAAAAACCAAGTAAGTCAGTAATATAGACTAGAAATAGGAAGGGGTCGAAAATTGAGCCTTGAGGGACGCCCATTAGTACAGGTAACCCAGAAGAACTTTTATGATATTTTACCATTGAGATGATAACTTTCTGCGTTCTCCTACTTAAATATTATGAAATAACAATCTTAAGCACTGTGTTCTTGACACCATAGTACTGTATTTATTATTTACATTATACTGTATTTACTGTATAGATTAGGAGGAGGTCAGTGCTGTGTGCCTGAGTGGGACGTAACGGGGGTGTATCAATAGTTTTTACATGCATAAGATATTAACGTAATACTCTTAATTTTTATTTGAAATTATTTTCTCGGTTACTTCATTAACACCTTGCATTCGTTCCTTCATCTTTTTTCTACCCTGCCTTTCTTTATTAACTCAATAACCTTATCTATAGTTATTCGTTTTGTTGTCATAAATTGCATGGCCTTTTAATTTGTCTCGGTTATTTATCTATAATTAGCATTTATTAGAAGTTACTGACAAGTGAAACGTTAGTATTTTGGTTGTCCACTACCGATGCATATAAAACTATTTTATCGCCTCCTATCAAAGAGTAATGCTATAACAGACCTTATAAGCTTTCAATGATTTATGATTGACTAACAAATTCCCATACCTACCCATGACCTATTATATCAAGATTTTTGTTAAAGGCTAGGAATATGAATAATCCAGAAATTATTCTTTTTATAAGAAGGTATGAAGAGGGAATGCCTTTTGATGTGTAATAATCTCTAGTACACGATGTTTTTTTTTCTTTTATTTTTATTTAGTGGTTAGTGGCTATAGCAACCCTTGGACACCTGGAACCAAAAACAAAGAAATGAAGTTACATGCACCTACGTTATCGCCTCTGATACTCACGTCATACATGCTACGAATATACAATAGTAATCGCTCTGCTGCTTGGCGCCAAAAATAGAAATGAGAGTGGAGAGTGGTTCTACGCAGATGGACTCTATGTAGAACAGAGGTCACACTAAAAAGTTATTACTTTAAGTGGTAAAATTCATAAAATGTTGTACAGATGTGATGAGCCGCTTGTCGTGGCGACAGGCCCTGTGGGCGCTGGCCGTGTTGTGTACGCTGGCGCCCTCGCAAGCTGATGGAAACATAGGTAAGTATAATAATGTCAGTAACCTACAGCTGAGCTGAATGAGAGACCTGAACTTCTTTTTGAGAGCAATTAAAAGTAGAGTTTAGAAGCCTTAATCATATTCAAAGTGGATTTTTCTTAGACGAGAACTTTTTTGAAATTTCCAGGTTTCTCATGAAACAAGTTAATTACCCCCCTCCCCCCGTGAACATGGGTGCTAAAAAGTATCCGAAACGTAATCAATCAATAAAATCAAACAAATTAAATGCGATAAAATCCGTATAAGTAGTTTTAAACAATGTGTAGTGTTCACGTAAATATATGAAATCATTAAGTTAATTATAAGCTATTTGTTTCTCTAGCCCCTCTCTCTTCCTCCTTTTATTTATGGTCATTGATCTACCTAAAGTAAGTTGTCTTTTTAGTGCATAAGTTGGTGTCTTTTCTTATTTTAGTGGTTTACACCACCAGGAGTGGAGTCTGTGGCTTCTCTTATTTTTATTAAATTTTTTCTGGGTTATCTGGAAGACATTGATATTACTTATTTAGTAATAAGAACATCTTTAGTTTTTCTCTCAATATTTATTTATAATTGTTATATTTGTCTTTCCTTGATGTACAATAAAGAGTATTGTATTTTATGGTATTTTCATTATTTGTTTAAACATGATTAAAAATCTGCATAATATTATAAACCACCCTTCATGTCTGATCATTCTGTTATAAAATGTTAAATAAAATTTACCTAATGGCATTGTAAGTCATGGCATCATAAGGCGATTTCTTAACGAAAAATGCATTTTCCAATTTGTTTGTCACTAGCGGACACACGGCGTGTGCTACAACACCACACACAGAGATATATTTTGTTTATTTTTTGGAAATAAAGGAAATTTTGTTAATGTTTTTTTTATATAGAGCTTAATGCATTATTTAGTGACCTAAAACTATCTTCGCATTATTGGATTTCTAATGAAATCGTTTTGGGGCACATCGTTTAGGTGGTTTCAAAGTCTATAACGAAAAAAAACAAGTAGAAAAAAGACGGGTGTCGAAATAATCACCTACGAGTGTTTTGTTTGTCCATAGACTAATATAAAAAAAAACAAAAAGACAAGGTTAATCATTTATTACACTCTATCAAAGGCTGAATCCACTGATCACATAATCACTACGTTTTAGCTGAGTCCACTGCTGAACATAACCTTCATTTATAGCTATAAGGGTAATCTATGCCCTATATATTTATTTTTATATATTTTTCGTGTAGTGGTTAGTCGCGCCGTAAGATAATTCACTACTCTATGTCAACCCATGGTTGACATAGGGACACTAAAACAGGAAATGCGCAGTAGCACTCAAAATAATAAAAAAACTGCGGTTTACACTGCTTGCTAAGCACAGCACCTGTCGTAAAGGCAAGGGCAAAGATGTTCAGATTTGAATGACTAAGCATCTAGAATTATTTGCCTGTAACTACACGATTAATTGAATTTTAGATCTTATTCAGGTAAGGTGATCTAAGAATGCAGTTTGTCTTATAGTAAAACTGTGGAAGCATCGTCTGCGTATCGTTTGTAGAATCTTGGATTTACTTGATTTTAAATATTGATCCTATTGTCGGAAACTTAAAATAAATCCTTTAAATTAGTTTCATTTAATAAAATTAGAATAAGAATTTGTATACAAAAATAGGAAAAAAGTAATTTCGAAACCAATATTTAATAAAGAAATATGTTTTTAATATTAATATATCTCAACAGGTTGCTTATTCAGTGGATCCTTATGTATAGAGGGAGGGGAATGGTGCTATGACGGTAAGTGAACTGCTCTTTACATCTTGTATTATGCATACACTTTTCATAACATATTTGATATAAAACTCACTCTATTTTATTTCAGATTACGCTTTTGGTAAATGTATACCAATTTATGAAGGCGATCCAGACGATGGCTCCCTCTATCAGTAAGTACTAGTATTACAAGGTGGCCTGAGAAACTATCATCCTCTAACCTATTTCTAGCTTGAATAGATATTTTTATACAAGTAAATCTTAGAAACAATCACGAGCACATTTAATGGTAAGATAAATGATTTAGGTAGAATCTCAATTTAGCAGTGAAAAGGGTCTCCGGGTCTCGTCACTTACCATGCAAAACATACCAACATTATTCTACTTTTGCACTGGTAGTCTATGCCTTCCTTCCTCTCCTGCACCGTTGTTTTATGGTTCAACCACGTAGATAAGAATTTTGAATTAAATAATTTTTAGTAACGTTTTGTAAGTTATTTCTGTTAGACTTTATGATAGTTGTGTAAGAGCTTCCGCCATCTTGCTTCATACAAAAAGAATTTGCTATAAACGTCGATTGTCGATCAGAGAACCAGATGTTCTCACGATAAATACCCTCTAAATGATGTCATGATATTTTTTGGCATTTCTACTGCATTTCTTTAGAAATACGACAGTGGATTTTCTTATACCACAACCACTTGACAAACCTTGAGTTTAGTAAAGGAAAAGTCAGTGACATCTCATATTTGTAATAAATAATTTCAAACAAAGGAGTCTATAGACGCGTTGTCAGCTCTAAGGACTATAATGGATGGAGTAATTCACAGCCTGTAATTATAATGGTTCTGTATACCATTCAGACCGGAACAACTATACTATATAAAGTGCTCTAAGGCTTACACTACATAAAGGGCAGGTCTTGGTGCTGCAAAATTGCACCTAGTGGCTTTCCACACAATGTCAAGGTGTGTTATGTAGCTTATTGGAGACACCAATATGGTCACAACTAATTTTACCAGTCTCGAGCACAGACTCAAAGTAGCCAGCCTTTCGGTGTTTTAAAGGATCCATTCGGAGAGCGCGCAGCCAAACATTTCATTACTTACCTGATCTTCACCTCTTTGTGGTCAAAATACCACACATTCGAGTAGCCTATATTACGCTTGAAATAATAAAATCAAGCAAAAATATTAAAGATATATAAGATTTAGAGACCTACACATACACGATACAATACAATGTGGGCTATAACAGGTTAAATTGATTTTAATGACTGACTGACTGACTCAACAAAATTTAGGAATCAAAACAATTTTTGATGTTTGTTTTGAGGTGGCGTATCGTTTGTTCAATTCAATAAGATGCTTAGTCACAATATTAAAATTTATTAGGAAAGACTAAAATGGTGCAAAAAAAGAACAATATTTTGAAAAAGATAACATACACTTAAAAAAGTATTTTTTATCTTATGGACCTCCTAAGGCGTGTCACAATGAATATAAAGTTATCAATTGTCACCTGTGAGATACGGCTCTACACTCTTGGATATTGAGAAAAAGTTCTTCTTTCACGTTCAATATTTGAGAAAGATTATTGACAGCTTTTCTTGCAAACAATTGTCGCGCGTGCTAAATTATATTGAGATCGGTGTACTAAAAAGGCCACGCTTACACCGTAAAATTGTATTCGCGGAACACAACTTAGCTGTGTGTGCACGCGCATTATCGTGCATGAATATGAGTTCTAGATCGAGCTGCTATTGGTGATAGATAACTATGTGTTGCACGAACCCGTCACTCTTGAAACCCCGTCACTCTTGAAACCCCGTCACTCTTGAAACCCCGTCACTCTTGAAACCCCGTCACTCTTGAAACCCCGTCACTCTTAAATCGTGAAATTACGCCCCAAGACGTAAAGACAGACAATCTTTTCTGGTAGCTGGGTCAGAATAAGTACTTGGCGCTGGGATTAGAGTATTTTTATTAATTGGCGAGCTGTAATCTGGTGTTGCCTCCTTGCACCATTTTCGAGAAAATGGTCTTTCTCTGAGTAATGATCCTGTATCTTTTTCGGCGACATATGCCTGTATCTGCTGTAGCCCTGTAGCGTGCACATAATTAGCAAAATACACTCGGTTTTTTTTTTTGAGAATAGAATAGAATAGAATAGAATAATTTTTTATTCAATATAGATTATATGTAATTATTTTTTGATTGAATGTATTTTTCCTTTACCACTGGTTCGGAAAAAAACCAGCAAGAAACCCCGCGGGACTTTTTCTAAAATAAATTTTACAATGTGAATGGTTAAAAAATATTTACATTATTTATTTTAGAAACAGTTTGTAAGCGTCTACCGCATTCCCAGGTGTTATAATCAACCATATATTTATATTATAAAAACCCTTTTTATACGTTTATGCTTTTGTTTAATTAATTAATTAAACTTGGTAACAGGGAGATCTTGTATATTTTCTGGGTCTTTGTTGTGATAGCGCATACATTGCCCCAAGAATGAATTACTGACTCTGTGGAGTCGAAAAACTGGTATCATTAGCTTGTGTTTGTTCCTGGTGTTTATAGAGTGTATATCACTTTTTTTACTAAAACTACCTTTGTTTTTGTGAACATACACATTTTCGTAGATATACTGAGAGGCCAAAGTTAGATATATAACTCTTTATTGCATTTGAACAAAGTTATTACAATAACGAAAAACTTATGAACTACAAACGGTGGTCATATCGCTTTAAGCGATTTCTACCTGACAAACTGAACATAAAAGGACATTGTAATTTTATATTTTGAGGGATAGGTGCAACGCGCAATATAAAATAAACTGAACAAAATTATTAAAAATAATATTTATAAAAATGTATTAATAATATATACAATACTTAATGATTATATATATATATATATATATATATATATATATATATATATATATATTATTATACATACATATACACATTAATATGTATAATAATTTTAAGTTAATATGCTTATTTCTTTAATTTTTCTCTAAGAGACTCTTTCGGTTTAAGGTTGTTGTAAATAGCTCTTATGACCCTCTTCTGCAAAACAAAGATAGTTTCTAAATCAGCTACATTTCCCCATAGAACTAAAATCCCATATGACTACTAGTAACTGAAATAAACTAATCTAACTGTCTAGACACTAGTGAGATCTTTAATATTTTTACATCATAAGCTGCAAAGCTTAGTCTGCTTGCTAATTTAAATAAATGGGGGCCCCACTGAAGTTTAGCGTCGAGAGTGATGCCAAAAAAAAACAGAGGATTCAACAGGGCTCAGTTCTTCCCCATTTAAAAACTCATTGGTATTCAGATTTCTAACATTCGTTGTTATATAGCATAGGTTGGATGTTGACCTCAGCGTCCGCAATTTTGACTTAGTATCTTTTTTTGTTCGAAGTTGCATAATGCTCAGAACAATAAAAAAAACCTGACGATAGTTTTCACAAGAACAGGAAACGAAAACTGACAATTATTTCTACATTTACTCGTATTACGTTAGAAATCTCTGTACTATGCGCAAGTTAGGTATGGTTAAGTAAATTATGAGAGGGGTAAGGTCTCCTTATTCGAAATGAGCTATATTTTTTTAAATTTCGGGAAATAAATACAGTTTGAACTGACATTTACGAGTACACATTTTAGCGGCCAGACCACACACAGTCAGTTCGGTTTAAAGAGTTTTCCTAAATAAATTTATATTATATGTTTTAGATTTTTCCTTACAATTTGCTATAGCATATTTCTGTCATTTTGTGTAACATTTAAAACAACACTAATGATTTATGTAATGATACTATATATCAGACCATAATGTTTAGAACAACACATTGTTATAGATATGACATGAGCTCTAAGCAGCTCCAATGGTTTGAAGGAGAGCTGCAAAGGCTGGCGACTCGAGGGTATCGCTGGGAGCATGCTTATACGCAATGCGTGCTTCAGGCTATGCTCTATGCTTTGAGACAGAATATGTGAGTACAGTTTATCTAACTTAAATATCATAAATGTAACTTTATTCGTAACTTTTATCATAAATGTGAAACTTAGTTCACAACGAAGAGAAGCTGTCTGCGCAGGATAGTTAGAAGCTATGTGCACGAGCACAGGCGCACTCTCTATTCCCACACTCTAATAGTTCGATGAGATGGCAAGCCGACACGACCGGAGTGTTAAGGCGCATGACCAACGGCTTTAGGTGCTCTCCGATGCTCGGGGGTAAAATTCCGCCAATTTTTTGACTGCTACTGAGAATTTCTTGACAGAAAAACCCAAAAACTGATTTTGGCCCGATCCGGGATTCACATGATCGGTATTCGCGCTTTCGACTACTAGACTAAGGAGGCAGTCAGCATACAGAACACAGCAGCATTATGCTGATATTCTGTGAGAGCGTGGTCCTTCCCCATCCAAGCCGACCCATTTATCCTGCAGCCATAATATAGCTAAAGAGTAGCTCTACCACGTACATGTTTGGATATTTATCACTCAATCACGCTCAGAGTTGAACGAATTTGATTAAAATTCTTCGGTTTTCCACACCTGGGCAAATTTTACGAGAGCGATGCCGTTGGTAAAAGCTAGTTTTATCCTATTTATTCCACTCTATTTATATATTTTTGAAACTACATGTACTATTAACACCTATTATTTTAAATTTAGGGAACCTGCTCATGTAAATTCCAAGTTGTGTGAGCATTTTGCTGATCCGAAATTAAGTACTGCTAATGTGGAAAATGTTGATGAAGTTACAGATGTAAGTCTTTTTTATACATAATATTCAAAATATCTCCTACTACGGTTTAAATTTCCTATGAATTTATTCCAATGTATACTTTAAGTTTAGTTATTAATAAAATTATGTTTAACACTGAATTTAGATGGAACCAGATGAGACAGCTTTTGTAAGGTTTACGCCGAATTCAGAGTTGGGTGATTCAGATTACGCTAATGAGGTATATAATCCTCCCTTCACGCCCGATGATGACTCGACTTCTTATATAATATCAAAAGGTACAATGATTAAAATCTACATATTGAGTAAAATAATTTAAAATATATGAGTTTACAATGGTATTCCTTTAAATGCAGATCAATCAGACATCGAAGGTCAATCCCCTAGTGACAAAATAAGGAACTTAATGTTAATGAGCGGTCTAGAAGAATCACCTGCTATAATACCTTTCCAAGGATTTAGAGAGAGACTTCAATCAGAACAGGAAGCAAAATTGGGAGATAGCAAGTATTTTAACCCCTTAACTGACAAAGATAAAAAGTCTTTGCCAGATTTTAACAGAGACAATAACGCTGACAAGTACGCAAGTGAAGAGCGTCTAGGTGCACATTTTAGAAAATTAAAAACTAAACCTTTACCCTTCACAGCTGAATACCTTACAAGTAATTACTCTCCTCTAGATGCGGAAGTACATTCTAATGCCTTAGAGAAATATAAACAGAGTTTTGCTGAAAAAAATTTTCCGTTTGAATATGAAAATCCTGTAGATTTCCAAGAGCCAAGAATTTATATTGACCATGATGATTTGGATGATCTTTCTATGGATGCAGGCAGTGGGAAATACGATCCCTACAATTTAAAAGGTAAGAATTAATTAAAACTTCTTGTTGTTATTTAATGTATTCAATCTAATTAAAGCATCTTCATATCAGATACTAATTCGCCAGGAACTGAAGGTAAAGATTCTAAGAATATGGAATATTTATTTCATTATTGGCGGAGATTAAAGGAGCTAAAACCGCAAGAAACCATATATTCAGAGGGCGGGCCGCTTAAACCAGATGATAAGGAAGGTAAATCAAAATAAATAGTGATGTAGTCATGAGTACCTGGTCGGTACTTTCCTTGTAAAAAACAGTTTTGTTGCTTTCTTTTTTATTTTTAGTTTTTCTAGGCACAATTTTTAATGCTACCATAATTATACTTTTTAAGTAATTTTAATGGCAAATTTATTAATATTAACTTTATTTTGATGTTTTTAAATATTAAATCAACATTGTAATATCATATTTTAATAACAAAACGGGTTAAAATGAAAACTCGGACCGGTAAATAATACCGGACCGAGACCGTCATAAGTCCCGACGATGTTTCAGGTGAGAGTTCAAAATTTTATCTATCTGAAGAATTGCAAGATTTTCTAGATAGAGAATGGGGCTTTAAACGTAGGGAAAGAGACGATGTTAAAAAGCCCGGACCGCGTCTGGACGCAAAAACCTTAAAGTTATTGTACCACAATAAATCGGTGACAGGTTAGTGGCACGATGGCCTGAAATACCTGTTTTAGAATCTCGATGTGAACTACAATTTATGAGTTAACTTTCAGTCCAAGTTTAATTGATGCGTTTTTATAAACTACAAAATTTGATATAATATGCACTGCTACGTCTTTATAAAATCTTCGCACTAAATGTTTTCCAAAACCGCACCCTGTTACTTGTAAAATGCAAAAGCATGAGGTTATTCTGATCCTCCACGAATAGGCAAACGCTTTCCGTTTTATTAATATTCATTTTATATTTTGCTTGAAGTATTAATTGTATTATTCTTGTACATTTCTATTTTGTATTACGGCTTTTTGAAATTTTTGGTTAGCGTTAGAATTCGTAATGTGTTTGTACATTGTTTTGAATGTGGTAATAATTATCATTGGATCGTGAAACATATTTATCTATAATATATCAGAAGCTTTACAATCTTACTTTAAAAGTGAAAGGAAAAATCTTATAAATTATAAAATCGCCTGTGAATGTTTCGTGTCATTTATCTTATTTATAAAAGAAAATTAAAGATTCCTTCTAATTTTGTGTTTTAGCTCAGGGATCGTCAGTTAATCAGAAGTTGAGTCAAATAAGTCACGACCACAACGACTTTGACTATGATCCATCATATGCATACGTGACATTTAAAAATAGGTACATCGTTTCATTTGCCTTTCAAATTGCCAATACATATAATTATTTATATATAACTTATAAAATCGAAATAAAGCTTACTGAATTTCTTGCTTAATTTTTGACTTTATTTATTTCTTATTTCGTGCAATTGTGTTAAATTATTTAACACTATTTTACATTTAACAGATTCCTAACTGATTGGGAAAAGGGCCTCGCATTCATATCAAAACTTGAAGAATTGCTTGGATTAGAGAAAAATACTTTTACAAATCCTCGGTAAGTCACTTTGTTATTTTTTATTTATAGGATATGTAAACATTGTAGACACTAACTTTGTAACGGTTATAGTGTTGATCCTGGAGAGGTGACGTTTAAAGTAGAAAAAAACAGTAAGGGCTATGAAGCTGAAGACGTCGCCAGGCATGTGGGTATGTGTTTATTTTATTAATTGCTTATTTTAGTAATTGCCGAGTGAGTACTCGGCGTCTTCCAAAACTGTTTCTATTAAAGGATAGGTAGATAGACATAGACAAGACAAAAGTTATATACCTATAATTACCAGTAGTTCTTGGGAACACTAGCTTGAAATTGTTCACAAGTATGTGTACCTAGAGCTAATTACCAGACTACGTAAGTTAAACTTCGACCAAGAAGTTAATTGACGCATCCAACTTGGCTGGTCAGCGTTCGGGAAATTACGGCACATCTTTTCGTCCAGTATACCTGAAAGTAATAAAACAAGAAGGCGTGCTGCCATTGCAGACATACCAGGGGCGTTTAAAAATGAGAATATCGTTTCGGTATAAACAGATTGGAATTAAAATGTTGCCTTGTAAAGTTGAGATATCTGTAAGATATCTAAAAGTTAAACTTTTTTTAACGTAAGTCGTTTGTTTGCGGTTGTTGTAGCGTTTTGGCAAAAATAATAAAAATATAACCTACGCGCCATTACTATGTATATATACTATTTGAAAAAATTCACTAAGGAACAAGTAAATCAAAATTGACGGGATAAATAAACAAGTCAATCAAAATTAAGGGTAAACGCTGCCCCGTATTCCATAGTTGCACGTAAGGGCGCCAATTTAAACGTGGAAGTATATTCATCAAAAATGACCCACGACCACCCACTGTATGATGACACCATCTCCGATACCCGTGAAATTTAATATGAGTATTTCCGCTGGTAAATCATGGACTCTGTTTTCAGGCATAGTTAAGGGGTAGTACTCGTAATGATTGAGAACCTCGATCATGAAGCTATTGTGTATAAGCAAAATCTGCGAGGAAGGGCAACATAAACTCACAAACCCTACTATGGCTGTATTTTGTTCGATATACTGGCATTGAAATACTTGAGCATCTAGGATATTTACCAGACCTTGCAACTAGAAATTTGTATCTGTTTCCAAATTTGATGAACTATCTGAGAGGACAAAATTTGAAGATGATGAAGCAGTAGTCGCTGTACAGGAACTTTTAGGTGCTTAGGATGAAAAGTTCTTTAATAAGTGAATTTTAATTTATGATTATCCATTTAAATATTGCTTGGATTTCAATTTGTACTCGTATATTGCTTGGATATTCTTGAAATCGGAAAGCATAATTAATATATTTATTGACGGTGGAAGACAATTTATTACTCTTTATTACTTCGTTCTGTAGGTGCCGTAAGATGCAAATATTGGAAATGCCAAAAAGATTTATGGCTTTAGATAGATGGCGGTATTTCTAATCATTTCAGTTCAAAACTTAACCGTATACTTCTAGTTTCATATAACTGTTGTAAAATATATAACGATATCTAAATCGTTGAAAGTTATCATTTAATCCTTTTTTTATTTCAGTTGACATCAAAGATCAATTACGTCGAGAAACCGGCGCACAAATACTGTCAACTGGCATAGGAGATCGGGTATTTTTTATTCCTTAGTTGAACTGAGCTCATAATTTAATTTTTGAGTATCATATAATAACTGTAAAGACGATGATTTATTATATTTACATTACTTCTATCGACAGAGTAAACTGCCTGTTATCACCGAAACAGAAGTCTACGATTCCGGTTACTTCGGAGTTGCAGCGCCAGTGCTATTGGCGATAATCGGAAGTTTGTCAGTTTTGATAGTAGGCATTGTAATTTTCGGTATTCTACTGAAGCGAGACTATGACTCACGGAGGAAGATACACGGACTTGCATCCGCAGCGGAGATTGACGCAGAAGCCACCAGAGATTATCAGGTTGGCAAACTAATAATAAATAGTCTTTCGTCCAAAATTATTTACTTTAGAGGAACACTTTTTAGGTGATTATACTTATGTATAGGCTCATGATCGCAATAGAACCTCCCAGCAGGTAGGCCTTTAAATAAAGATGAACATCTAATTACATGTCACGCGTTTACCGGTAGTTGTTGGAACTACTACAGTCTAAGCTTGTAAGTAAGTAATGTTTACGTGGACTAGATAAATCTAATATCGACCAAGGGGTAACAAAAAAAAAATCAACGAACTTAATTCGGCTAGCCAGTTCAGAATATACAACACATCATCTCTTCAAGTGTTACTTAAAATATTAAAAAAGTGTATTACCAGTGCGTTTTGTCATTTATGACCACTAGGGATACGCCTCGGCTTCACAATGGTGATATATACATATTATAAACCTTCCTCTTGAATTATTCTGTCTTTTAATGAAAACCGCATCAAAATCCGTTTAAAAGATCTAAGCGTACAGACGGCGGGAAGCAACTTTGTTTTATACTATGAAGATTTGGTATCGCAAGTTGTCCTTCAATGCTCGTCATATAAGGAATCGGTGTGGGGAGGCGTGCGTGCGTGCGTGCGTGCGTACGTGCTTGCGTGCGTGCGTGCGTGCGGGCGGGCGTGCGTGCTTGCGTGCGTGCGTGCGGGTGCGTGGGCGATCGTGCGTGCGTGCGTTCGTGCGTGCGTGCGTGCGTGTGGGTGGGTGTCGTGCGTGCGTGCGTGTGTGTGTGTGTGTGTGTGTGTGTGTGTGTGTGTGTGTGTGTGTGCGTGTGTGGGGTTGGGTGTCAGTGTGTGTGTATGTAACTCTTATATACCTACCTAAATATAGTCTCTATTTATAAAAATCAATTACTGTCCGATAGTCTCGCTTTTCTCGAAAACTGCTCGACAGATTTTGATGAATTTTTTTGTGTGTAAGGGTCCCTGGATGGTTTATATTCACAATTGGATCGGGTAGATGGCACTTTTGTCGAGATCACGCTTGTGAAACCGGATGGATTACTAGTTTAACACAAATTAGCACAATTTTCTCGTATAGTTGATCTATTCTCAAATTTATTTTTTTGAATTATTATAAACCAGTGCTTGGCTACTATCCCACCTAATGATACTTTGTACTAAGTATTAAGTATTCTGTGCTGATGGTAAATAGTGGTATTACATAGCTATGGATAGTAAAATGCACTGACTTAGTATAACCAAAGCCTGATAGGCTGTAATGATGTTGATGATGACTGCCATAACCTACAATAACACTACCAATTAAATAAAATTTAAATAGTTATTGGTAATCGCCCATTCCTTTATCAGGAGCTATGTCGTGTGAGGATGTCAGGCAAATTGCCGGGACAGCCTACAGCAGCTCCTTCGCAACCCGTAGATCCCCCTCAGCGCATTACCTCTCTGTCCCGAGAAACTGATGGCAATTCACCCTCTACACGTTCTAGTACCTCGTCATGGTAAGTCCAGTTCTCTTTGATAGGTTTTTTTTTTAAATTTAATGTGATCAATATGAAAGAAAACCTCTACCAATACAGCCTATCAAAAGGCCTGCCCAAATATTGCGTCACAAGAGGAGATACTTAGTTTGGACTCTTAGTAGCAGGGTTGTTAATCGCAGTTTTTTTTTTAAATTAATTTGAGTGTTTATCAGGAAGATGCTGCTGTCCATTTTTTAAAACAGGTTAAGTTTTACACTGGGATATTTTTTATATATAGATATTTATCATAGATAGTTCAGGAAATTCTCACATCATCAATTCTAAAAGATCTTTGCGTTTAAAAATGTGCAAATCGTATTTTTGAAATGTAAAACAAATTATTGATTCAACAGGAGCGAGGAACCAGCTTTAACCAACATGGATATATCTACGGGACACATGGTCTTGGTGAGTATTTACGTGTAGGTAGATAAATTAAATGGCAAAACAAATAACAACGAGTGCTTTGATACAAGTTATCTTTCAATGACATAGTGACCGCCATTTTTCTGTTCTATTATTATGGATTAATTAAATGCTTGCTAATTGTTGTATTATTTTCATTTGTTGAAAATAAACGTAATTTTTAAACTGATTTATAGGAATTAGGTTCATATACGGTTATATAAGTACATATTGCATAGTAAAGTTACAGCCTATATAGGCCTCACTGCTGAGCACAGACCTCCTCTCAGTCCTGAGAGGGTTTTTGGGCAAGGAAATGTCCGCCGCGCTTCCCCAATGCGTGTGGGCGAACTTCACATGACTTCGAAATATTTTTTTGGTTTTTTTCTCAGACATGCAGGTTTCCTCACGATGTTTTCCTACATAGCCGAGCACGTGGTAAATTAGCAATTTCATTAGTGTTGGTAGAGATCGAATTCGGGTTGATCGCGTAGATACTGTGAAATTTACAGCCAGTGCTTAATTCCTGAGCTACCATGGCTCTATACGTAAGGTGGCTATACCATGGAAGGCCACTCTAACAAATAAACAGTTATTATTCGTTTATTTAATATTTGGTTAAATGAAACTAACAAATATTTAAGTAATACTTTGTTTTATTACGCAACATATAAACCACTTTTTTAAATTGCAGATTTACTCAATATTAATTGAACTTAAGTTTCATTGAACTCTTCCAAATGGCCTTACTAGGAACAAGGCTTCTTAGAAGGCCATTATAATAAATCAGTCATTTAACATTAAAGTTTAATAAATAGCGATTAAATCTACAATAAAAATAAGTGGTTTATATGTTACGTAATAAAACAAAGTATTACTTAAATATTTGTTACCTTACTGTAACGCCGTCGATTCCCGAAACCAATGGAGCGAGGAACCGTACTGCCAAAATAGTATCGCGAGCGATTCGCCGCCGCGTCTGTGATTTTCAGTTAGATGGGTGTTTGTGTAAGTAGAAGAAATTTGTCATCACATGGTAATAACTACGGCATTTTAATAATTGGCCTACGAAGGAGCACGGCCTTCCATGGTCCACCCACCTTATATATTTTAATTATTATCTATAATACCAATATAGTATAATATTATCTATATTGCCTGTAGAATAAAATAGAATAGTATAAAACATTTTTTATTTAAAATAGATTACAAGAATACTTCTTATTGGGTAATTTTTTACTTTTACCACATTTTTTACTTTTACTGGTTCGGATAAAACCTCTGTCCTGGGAAGAATCAGTAAGAAACCCAGCGGGACTTTTTTACACTCATTGATGAATGATGATATCGAAATAGACACTAACGGTATGAATACTCCATAACAATAAACTCACAGTCGCTCAAGGAAACATACGATTCGTAATGAACCGAATTTCCAGATAATTAAATTCATCGATATATATCCTTTCATATTGACAAATTGATGAGGCGTTCAATGTTGTGTGGAGCAGCGCGTTTCTTTTTTTAGATACTGAGGGTAAATTTATTTAGGATTATGGAAAAAATTCAAGAGCATCATGTAGGTAGGAATTCCTTATTGAAGCACGAAATTCGACAACATACCTACATAAATTATATGATTGATTGTATCCATTGCAGACTTTGAAAATTTTCAAAAAGATTGTTTAAAAAATATGAAAAAAAAAATACATAACGCGCTTTGCTCACCCCAGAGGGCTCGGTTTAAAAAAAACTGCTACTGGATGTGTATGCTCATATTTAATAAAATACCCCAAAATATAAAAGACTTACCCCTTTATAGATTTAAAGGTGCCCTTTACATGTGGCTAAATGATCATTGTTTTTTATAATGTGAATGACTAACTATATTTGACATAATGTGACACAACAATAGTTCCATATTTTTAATTGCATTTGCAATTTTAATTATTTTTAAATTTATATGTATTGGTATTGGTATTGGTAATTTGTAAACGATGACTATTTTATGATAAATATTTTAATTGAATTCGATATTTTAATTTAGTAAACTTAATTATAAAAAATGTATTTGCATTCTATTTACAATAACCACCTAAATGTACCCTTTTTCAAAACAAATAAATCTTCATTTCAGTTCATTTGAGAAACAAATGTTGACTGAATTAAAATTATCTACATAGCATAAGCATAGCATTTTTTAGGAGAACTTTTGCAGGAAGCGTGGGTCGGCTCGACCGAGGTAGGCCCACGCTCACAGAATACCAGCGTAAAATAGCAGCTTAATAATGCTGTGTTTTGTATGGTGAGTGTAGAGAATCGGAGACCCTTTTTACTGGAAACGAGGCATTCCATCTCAGTCCTCAGGGCTGGCAACGCATCTGCATTTTGATTATTAATTGAAGATAAATATAGATGTCTATGGGCCACAGCATCCACTTACCATCAGGTAGACTGTGTGCTCGTTTGTCACCCTTATTCTATAAAAAAATTACTTCAGCAAAATTTGCTTATTCTATAAAAAATAACTTCAGAAAAATTTGTTGTAAAACTATGTGTATTGTTAATGAATATTTCTATCTTTAGGCTTACATGGAAGACCACCTACGCAATAAGGACCGTTTGGAGCAAGAATGGCGCGCTTTATGCGCATATGAAGCTGAACCCTGCGCGACCGTTGCTGCACTGAAAGCCGAGAACACGGGCAAGAACCGATACGCTGACGTACTGCCCTATGACCACTCCAGGGTCACCCTAAATACTTTATCTAATCATCTCGGCTCTGATTACATCAATGCTTCGACTATTGTAAGTTTCATGAATAAAATTGTTGCTCCCAACAATTCCGAACAATTTTAATATCAGTCTTCTTTCAAATATATTCAAAATCAAAAATTAAAAATGATTTATTTTGGTCTTATTTAATGCTCCCATTAAAACATAAAATCTACCAACCGTAACGTACTAAAAGCAAAACCGCTATCCTCTATACAAATGTTGAAAGAAGAAATCAGTAAGAAACACTCGCTTCTTTGCTTTTTCTGTTATTTTTAATATATTTTACATTTTATATTAATAAATTGAAATTTTAAAATTTATTACATAGGTATAATACAATTTACTTTTCTGAGCCAGCCGAACATTAGAGCAAAAATTATTTCAATTTCAATCAAATCTATAGTAGATTTCAGGTCGAAATAATAATAGCTTGCGGCTAAATCTAGGCTGAAGAAAAAGGTACGTTTAGATGTTTTCATTTACCGTTTACAGGCCCCCAATATGAGTGCCTTAAAAACGGTGTATTGTCTAAGATGGGCCTCACTGTTAACTTCACCTGAATAAGAAATTTAAGTTCAGAGTTTTAAGATATTAACTTCCTCCATCAGTCGGTCGTCAAGGTCTCGTCGGTCAATCAGGTCACACTACTAACTCGAGAGGTAGTTATTTGGCGAAAAAGTTGGCTTTTCTGTTCATAAATTAAGTAAAAACAGTTAAATGCAGTTTAAAATATTTTTAAGAGCAACTTCTGTAGCGAAGTGGATAAACTTAGTGGGTACGGTTTTAAAAAATTACTTCACGATTTCTTGTAATGATTCACCGCCGGGACTGCATGAGAATACCTCCTATTATTTAACCTACTTATGTAAAATATAAAATAAAAGAAGAATGATATTATATTGCATAGATATTTCATTTCGTACGCGTGTACACAATTAGTACTTGACTGTTATCATCTTATTATAGGGGATAATATCGTGAAACACTACTTATTTTATTAAAATAATAATTTGATTTGAACAGACGGACCACGATCCCCGCAACCCGGCGTACATCGCCGCGGCCGGTCCGCTCGCGCATACCGCGCCGGACTTCTGGCAGATGGTGTGGGAACAGGGAAGCGTTGTCATGGTCATGCTCACGCGGCTCACTGAGAATGGACAGCAGCTCTGCCACCGCTACTGGCCCGAAGAGGGCTCAGAGCTTTACCACATTTATGAGGTAATTGAAGTAACGTAGCCAGGCACCTCGCGGGTCTCCGGTTCGAATCCAGCGGGATCCAACTTTGGTATAAAGGCAGAATTGTTTTGAAGTCTGGTTGTGTTGTGTGATTACTCAAACAAAATTATTTCCAAGCATCTTCATCATCAGAAAACATTCTACGCATATTTAATTTTAAGAAACCACAAAAAAATTAAGAAAATGTTGTGTTTACGCCACCATATAATAATAAATACAATAGCTTTTGTTATTCAAACTTTTATAAAACATGCTTAGTAATTGCCCTTTGTTATGAGGTATTATTTACGTATATCTTATGAACTTTTAAGATTAGGGTTTACAAAGCAATTGCGGACGAGTATTTTTATTCACTCTTGTGGCCCACGTTTTAATTGCGAATTCGTGTTTATTTCGGATATTCTTTTTAATTGAGTTGAGCCTAGCCCTAGCTGTGTGCTCCTTCACTGTTCTCCGACTATTTGTGTGATCAATCAACTATGGCTGCTATAACTAATGAAGAATATGCTGATATCGTCTTTATGTATGGCAGAGCTGACGGTAAATGGATCATTGGCATTATTTACTTTAGACGTACCAAGAGCGATATCGAAGCTTACCAAATGTCAGAGTGTTTTACAACACATTTAGTCGGCTTTCTGAAGTTGAAACCCATCTCGCGAAACCTGTAGTCATTCCGGGGAAACATGGTCCAAGTGTCGAGGAAGACATTATTGCAGCTTTAGATGCAGATCCTGTTACCAGCGTCAGAACATTAGCTCAAGATCTAAACATTTCGGTATGGAAGATGTGGAATTCGATGCACCAAGAAAACAAGTATTTTTTTACGGCACGGGTCTACAAGGTTTGGAAAAAAAACCCTAAGAAGGATTCAGTTCTATCGCTTTTTGCTAAATAGTAAAATTGAAGATTAATGGTTTTTAAAATCCATCTTGTGGACCGATGAGGCAAAGTTTTCAAAAGAAGGAATTATCAACTTTCGTATCCTCTGTCGATGGACTAGCAAGGACAGCAATCCACACGGGAAGAAGCAAGTGTCATTTCAAAGAAAATTTTCAATAAACGTGTGGGCAGAAGTAACGGCAGAATGTTGATTGGTCCTCACTTCCTACCAAAAAAAAAACGATCTACCAGAGCTTCTGGACGAGGCCGAAATATCAATATTGGCAACGAGAAGACCAATCTTTGAGCAAGATGGTTATACAGCGCATTGGACTTTAAACTTATGAGAACATTTAAATAATTGTTTCCCGGAGAACTGGATCGGCAGAGACAAGTCTATCCTTTGGCCACCTTAATTGCCTGATTTCCCTCCTGTGGGTTTTTTCGTTTGGGGACGGGCCAATGAGCTCATCTACACGCATGTGGAAATATCAACCAGAGAGAATTTAATAGGAAAAATTCATATGGCTTTTCAAGTTATAAAGCAGGAGATTAAAATAAAAATTACGACCATAGAGGTGAAAAGACGGGCCCACGCTTGTGTCGAAAATTGCAGTCAGCATTTTGAACACGAAAAATAAATTATTTTAACAAAAAATTGTTTTATTGATCTGCTAAAAATCAAAAATATTCCTTCGCAATTTGCTTTGTACACCCTAATTCCTAAAGTTGAGACATCTGCGTAAATAATACCTCAAAAGAAAGGGCAACAACAAAGCATGTTTTTAAAAAGGTTTGAACAACAAAGGCTATTCTATTTATATTCTAGGATGGCATAAACAACATTTCAATGATGAAGATGTTAAAAATAAATTTGTTTGAGTAATCACACATTACATAAATAAAAATTAATAACATTACAACCGTCAATCGACACCTAGCAATTTAAAAAAGGGCGTTTTTGTTAAAAAAAAACTTTGTAATTCAATTTAAAAAAGCAGCAGACATCGTCTGAGACAACTTTAGCTTTGGCTTTAACTTTAGCAAGGTATCACTCCTTTCAGGCTTTGCCCTCATCAATAATTGCAAACTTCAACGTAAGGTTGCCAAAGTACACGAAACATCACAATTTGATGAACAAGTTAAAATTATACGCAATAAAACCAGAGACATTACTTATATTCTAGATATGTATTGTATTCGCGTAGATATATTTAATCATTTAAAGTAGCTGATGCGTTGTCACCCCCAAAGGCTAGGACGATTTGCCTCACAACCTGTATAATTATTTCTAATTCAGTATAAATTGGCTTTCCTACCCTTAAAACTCAAACACAGTAGTTGGTGTATTGCTCAACCAACCCAGACGGAACACACAAAACAGAACTATACACCAAGACATAGAGAACTATAGACCAAGAGCTTTGTGTTCTTTTACCCAGTAATTTAACAATAAAATATTTAAGACATGAAAGTTTCCTCAAGATGTTTTCCTTTACTGCCAAGTACGTGTAAAATTAGCTCATAGAATTGCGTTCAATAATTCGCTGGTATCGACTGAGATCAAAATCTTCATTTCCTAACATTTTTTTTTCATAGAATAAGAGTGTCAAACGAGCTCACAGTCCACTTGATGGTAAGTGGATGATGTGGTTCATAGACATCTACATCTATCCTCAATTTAGTATTGTCTTGTCTGTAGTTTAGTATTAGTCTTGGATCTGGTATTGATATGGTCTGTAGTTTAGTATTAGTCTTGGATCTGGTATTGATATGGTCTGTAGTTTAGTATTAGTCTTGGATCTGGTATTGACTAATCTAGAATCCGGAAGTTGTACTGTGTCATTTGAAGTTGAACCATTGGTACCTATTGATGCTTATCACCCTCCGTTAGAGATCGTGCTTACACTACCAACAAGTGCTGCAATAAACATACCATTTCCACCATGTCAGAACCTTTGCACAGAATGGAATTTCCGTAAAGCAGATCTCTGTGGCTTGTACACTGATATAAATGACTTGGACTGGACGGACCTAATGCATAGGACTAAGCTTTAGAGATCTTATATAATAAACCTTAATAAAGTCATTAGTAGACGAGTTCCCTATAAATCTTTAACTACCAATCATATATATATCCAAAATGGTATACTAAAGAAATCATAAAATACATAAAATTAAAATATTTTAATTTAATAATGTTTAAAAGTCGTGGCTTGGAATTTAATAAGGCGTTATTTAAATATTATAGAACCAAAGTAAAAAAAACTTATTAATACAGCATCTACAAATTATATGATAAAAGTTGAAAATGATATAGCACGCGAACCTTCAAATTTTTGGAAATACGTGATAGAAAAACGAAAGAATAGACAACAGAATAAGGAATTTTTTGTATAATAATAGAATTTTAGAAGGGCAGCAAGCTATTGATGGATTCGCGCAGTATTTCAGTAGTTTTTCAACCTAATACTCCATTGTTAAATGCAGAGGCAGCGGAATGCGATGCAATGTACGCAGACTGTGTAACCAAAGTCAGTATTAATATTATTAAAGCTTCAGCGGCAGCTTGTGGCCCTGATAACATACCTTCGTTTTTAATAAAGGACTGTATGGCAATTTTAGAGGAACCATTACTGTATGTCTACAATCTCTCACTTCAACAATGCCTCTATCCCAATGCATGGAAAGTGTCCAGGGTAACTCCTGTACCTAAAAGTGGTTCGTCCACTGATGTAACTAACTTCAGGCCTATCGCGGTGTTATTAGTATTTGCCAAGGTGTTTGAATCCATTATAAACAATTCCATTTATACAAGGGGGTTGGCGAAGTTCCGATGTTAGGGCTATTGGTTTTGGTTTTTTTAATGCTGGATTCTCCTTTTAAAATTTATGGCAGATTATCTTAGAGACCGAAAGCAATTTGTTGAGCTAAGAGGTTATATTTCTCAAGAATATTACATACGCTCGGGTGTGAGTCAAGATAGTACGATCGGTCCAACTCTATTTCTAATAATGATTAACGATCTGCCCAGTAATATCTCAAGGGCAAAATGTTTAATGTTCGCTGATGATATAAAACTTTTCCATGCAGTGACCGGAGCTGAGGATTGTATGGCATTACAGCGCGACATTGACGCAGTGGTTGAATGGAGTGTAAAAAACACTCCTTAATAGTTCAAAGTGTAAGACTCTAACTTTTTCTCGGTCACGCAATCCAATCACAACGACATACCAGCTAGCAGGCACTCCATTAGGACATGTCTATACAATTCGCGATCTAGGCCTAAACATGGATAGTAAATTGAATTTCCATGAACATATTATTAAAACGTACAAAGAAGCGAATAAAAGTCTAGGTTTCATAATTAGAACTTCGCATCAGTTTAAAAATGTCCGTGTGATAAAACTCCTGTATAATGCCTACGTGCGAAGTAAGCTAGAGTATAACGCCTTAGTACGAGGGTGGATTGAAAAGTACTCGGCCTAACCAAGAAAATAAACACATACTAAATCAGTTATATTTTTATTTTTCTACATAATCACCATCAAGTTCAATACACTTTTGCCACCTCCCCTTCCAAGCATTTAGACCGTTGAAAAAAAATGATTCTTCCTTAGAGTCAAAATATGCGTCTACAGCTGCTTTGACCTCGTCGTTTGTCGAAAATCTTTGACCTCCCAAGTGCTTTTTTAGGTTAGGGAACAGAAAGATGTCTGATGGTGCCAGATCAGGTGAATACGGCGGATGCGGTAACAGTTCAAAGCCACAGTTGTGAATTTCAGCCATTGACTGTACTGACGTGTGAACACGGGCGTTATCTTGATGAAACAGGACTTTTCTTCTGAGCATTCCTCGACGTTTTTCTTTTATTTCCTATCGTAAACGACGTAATAAGGTGCAGTAGTAATCAGAGTTTATAGTCTGACCCCTTCCAAGATAATCAATCATAATCACACCTTTCGAGTCCCAGAATACTGAAGCCATCACCTTATTTGCCGACAAAATCGACTTAGCCTTTTTAGGGGGTGGTGAACCAGGTCTTCTCCACAGTTTTGATTGTTGTTTTATTTCCGGTGTACAGTAATGAACCCATGTTTCGTCAATAGTAACAAAACGATTCAAAAAATCATCTGCATCGGCTTCAAATAACTCCAAACATTCGCGTGAAATAGTCAATCGCGTCCTTTTTTGTTCAACTGAAAGCAGTCGCGGAACCCACCTCGCAGACACCTTGTGGAAACCCAACTCGTTGACAATGATGTTTTGAGTTCGTTCATAAGAGATGCCTATAATCTCGGCTATCTCTCTAATTTTTAATCTGCGGTCTCCCATTATTAAATCAAGTACTTTTTTAATATTTTCGTCAGTAGTTGACGTCGAAGGCCTTCCAGAGCGGGGTTCATCTTTCACACTCTCTCTACTACGCTTAAATTCTGCTATCCATTTTTTGACGGATGAATATGACAGAGCACAATCGCCTAATGTACTGACCATGTCATCATGGATGGCTTTTGATGATAGCCCCTTCTTATGGAGGTACTTAATGACGGCACGCTGCTCGATTTGCTCCATTCGCGGAAATTATGTCCGATTACTTTGTTAATAAATTTATAAAATCACAACTAATTATCGCACACGTTTCGAACTTCACACAATGAACTAGTCTGAACTGAACTAAATAATGAGGGTAGATTTGATTTTTAGAATTGAATGGATCTGTGTTAGGCCGAGTACTTTTCAATCCACCTAGGTATGGAACCCCCGAGAAATCATGTATGCAATGATGGTGGAAAAAATCCAACGTAAGTTTGCCAGATATCTGTATAAACGCCAGTATGGATACTACCCATTTCTATATCCGTCAACATTTGTATCGGGCATGGTTGGTCTAGATAACCTACAGTGTAGGCGGGAACTTATGCATATAATGCATTATTATTTCTTGTTAAGTAACAAAGTAGATAATCCTGCAGTTCGTGAGACCATACATCTTTATGTACCGGACCATTATGTGCGAGGTGCTGGTAGACGAAAACGTAGACTCCTCTCCTGTCCGCGTACGTGGCGCTCCCCACACGCAGATAACAGTCCCACTTCCAGAGCCGTTAGACTAATAAACTGTTTTCTCAGGGCCAATCCAGACGCAGATATATTTTCTGACAAACCCAGCGCAATGTATAAAAATGTATTAATATTCTTAAACAACTTTGTAAGATAGTAGAATAGTATATGTTTAGGTACATAAGTTTAATTTATGATATAGTAAATAGATCTCATTATACTGTTGTGGCTGTAATTTATATTGTGTATGGAAATTTAATAATTGGTGATTTTTTCTTGTGTATTTTATCTTACTTTGTAAATTTAGTGTAGATATAAGCGATTTAGTTGTATATACTGTAAGGTTATATTTTATCAATAAATGAATATGAATATGAATATATTATGGAAATTAGAATGCAGATGTGTTGCCACCCCTAAAGATTAAATTGGAATACCTCGTTTCAAAGTAAAAGTAGTTAGTAAAAAGAGTTTCCGTTTCTCTACACTCACTATAAGAAGCGCAGCAGTTAATTCCGCATTTTACACTAGTATTCCGAGAGAACCTGGTCCTGCCACAGTCGAGCCGACCGTTTCGTGTTACAACCATAATATACTCGTAGCTGCAACGTAAAAATAAGTTAAGTAAATGCTAAGTCAAAATTAAGTAAAGTTAATAAGACAATGCAATCATTTTACTCTACATGCAGGTACATCTTGTGAGCGAACATATCTGGTGTGATGACTACCTAGTCCGCAGCTTCTATCTGAAGAACCAACGCACCGGCGAAACTCGCACCGTTACGCAGTTCCACTTCCTGTCCTGGCCTGAAAACGGAGTACCCGCGTCCACCAAGGCTCTACTTGAATTTAGAAGGTATCAAATTCAATGACAAATATATAAAACAAGGCCCTTGTGAACGTCAAACTTTTTCTATATGGCTAACATTATCTGAGTGACAAATGAACTTTTGGTCCACCTGATGGTAGATAGATATCTGCAACATATTTCAAATGAAGAAGACTGACTGACGACAGATGCGTTGCCTTCTCTGATAACCAAGATGAAAAGCATCACAGCCGGTAATTACACTGACTGAAACATAGCAATGCAAGCATTAACCCCGACGGTCACCGTTTGGCAGCGGCAGGGAAGAGTGTAAACCAGCTCAGAAGGACTCCTAAGGGGAAAGAAGTCCTACCGCCTGATAGATTTCCGGTTGCCGCTCACGAGAAATATTGGACGAGTTGGGTATTTGAGTGTTTCTTTGCAAATTATATATTAAACTTGCGATCCACCCCGGCCTCGTACGAGTAATTTCTGGATCTCGACAACAGCTCCACCTATCGGGTCCAATTTTAAATCTAAACTATCCAGGGCTCCAAGCACACACAAAAAATTCATCGAAATGGGTCCAGCCATTATCCAGTTTTTGCAAGACGAACGGACGGCAATTGATTTTTATATATAGAGATTAGTCATGGGACGCAAAAGGCTATGTGTTTATTAGAACTACGTCGACTTTAACCTGAAATCTTTATTTTACAGAAAAGTCAATAAGTCGTATAGAGGAAGATCTTGCCCAATCGTGGTGCACTGCAGGTAAGATTTTATGGTTCAAGACATTTATGTTCTCAAAAGATTTACAAATCACTTATTAAGAGAAAATACTTATTATACAGAAAAAAAAACATTAGACCGATTGGCGTAGTGAGCTAGTATTATAATAGGTCGCTATATAATAATTGAGTGCTTAATAATTTATTTAGTAATAATTACACATAAATAGGGTACTTGCAAAAGTATTCGTACCCAAGCTAAGCAGACCATCGTCACTTCGGTCAAAATTGAATGAATGTGGCGAGTTATTTGTTATAGCCTATGACACATTAACTATTTTATTGTGTTTAAAATTAATTTATAGTGTTAGCCGTTATTGTTTGTGTTCATCTTTTAAAACCATAACTATATGTAATACGATACGATTTAGTATATTATATATTTAGGTATTAATTTGTTTGTAATAATATAAGTAGTGTAGCACATACTCATAATACAACGTATATATACATACATAAACACATATGTACATACTCATATACACAAATATAATGTATGTGAATTTTACATTACATTAATGGTGGGAACTAGAAAATCATTTGAGGAATTCAACCACTTATACCTTTACCTACATCACTATCATCTATGAATATCTACTCGTATAGTACAGCCTATTGAAGTCCACTGCTGAACATAAGCCTCTCCCATAGATTGCCTCATAGGTGGTATTAGTTGCCAAGCTTGGTGAGCGGGTTGGCAACCGCAACTGTTTTATTTTTAAGTCGTTATTAGAAAGACACTTCTGCCCATCCGATTTGTTTTCCTCTGTATTGTTTGATTCGTCTTCTTACACTGCCACTACATTTTTAACAATTCTATTCAGTATCACGAAATATATGCGTGATTTTCAGACTTACACTTTATCTTTAGAACACTATCAGTTTTACTACATTTTACAGTTGCGATCAACACTAGACATCTAATCTTTAGATTGAAGACCAAAATTAGATAAGTTGTTAGACATTCAGTGAAATCAGATATTGATATTTTAGCTGTGTCATGTTCAGACAAGACACAGTTTAGCCAACTTGCAAAATAGTAGCAAGTTGCTCTCAATTCGACTGTATGTACTTTTCTTGTATGAACATTTTTTTTATAGAATAAGAGGAACAAACGAGCACACAGTTCACATAATGGTAGGTGGTTGATGTGGCCCATATCTACACTCTATCCTAGTTTAAAAATCAAAATGAAAATACATTGCTACCCCTGAGGCCTGAGATGAAGTACCCCATATCCAGTAAAAAGTGTCTCCGGTTCTCTACATTCACCATACGAATCAGAAGCTAAAGCTGCTATTTTACGTTGGTATTCTGTGGGAACATGCTCCTCCTATCCTGGTCGAGCCGACTCATTCGTGCTACTACCACAATATAGCAGCAGCGTGGCTCTAGAACGTTTTCATCAATTGTAGACCGATTTTAATTTACTTCTTTCGACTTTGTAGTTTTGTCTTTTTTAGTTGACTTTATAGTTGTTTACTTGTTTGATGATGATATTTTAAGGTATACAGTGCCTGGGTGACTGAGCTTCGCTTGTCGTTAGAGAAATAAATCAATTCTATGTGCTAAAACGAACACCGTTTAGCCAGTTTTCCAGAGAGAATATGTTTTAAGGTTCAATCTATCTCTACCTAGTAATAAATTAATTATTTTAAAACTAGGCACCTTCTTAAATTATTTTAAGATATACCGCCGTTATTAGACATACACAAAACAAATTCAACAAACTTTATAGAACGAAAGGAAAAACATACAAACACTGCCAAAATCATTCTTATATTTCTTGAAATATCAAATTAAATCGCTCCAGTTTTGGAAAAGAAAGTAGGGAAATATCGGGATGATGTAGAGAACTCTGCTATCCACCAACATTTACTCCGGCTTGGAGGATTCCATAACGAGACCTGCGTCGTAATAGCCTTGTTAATACAGACCACTAAGCTATGTAATTACTAGCACTTGGGCAAATAATTGTTAGTAACACAACTGCGTATTATAAGCCTATGTTCACAATTTTTTAGTACTCTACTCTTTAGACGAAATATCCTTTTAACTCTAATTTCATTTCAGAAATGAGAGGATGCCTGTGCCCTGCAGTATAACGTACTTATATAGGTTGTAATTTTACATTTTTACTGAGAGATGTATTAGTGTGAGAATAATGAGAAGGAAAAACATAATTATAATTTTATACAGGATTATTTTTCAAAGAGTAGCCAAACTTTAAACTTAACATAACATACATAAACAATCACGCCTGTCACCCAGAGGGGTAGGCAGAAACCACAGAATTAAATTTGGCACCATCCTGGCACACCTCTCTCGCCTCCTCCACATCCATATACCTACGCATGCTCGGCGGTTAAGGGTACTCTTAATTTGACCCATTTTCAATATATCGCCAATTTGATCGATAAACTTTTGCCTAGGACGTCCCTTCCCATCCCGACTCTTCCGTTCACTTCTGCAACATACATTTGCTTTGTCACTCTTTCCTCATTCATTCTGTCTACATGACCAAACCACCGAAGCATTCCTTTCTTAATCCTCGTCACAACATCATCTTGCAAACCACACTCTTCTCTTATCACACTATTTCTTACCCTGTCACTCAGATTCAGCCCTAGCATACTCCTTAACGACCGCATTTCTACTGCGCTTATTGTACTCTCGTGCTTGTTCTGCTACACGCAACTTTCACTACCATACGTTAATATAGGGACTAACAAAGCACTGTGAATTGCCATACGTGCCTTTTTCGACACATTCTGACTTTCCACAATAGAGTATAGAGCCCCATTTACTCTATTTCCTGCGTTCACTCGTCGTTCTATATTCTTATCATATCTCCCATCCCTGCTAAATATGCATCCCAAATATACAAACTCATCTACTTGCTCAACCAACTCCCCTTCTATTCTTATTTCACATATCGCTTTACTTTCTTCTTTTTCAAAAACCATAACTTTCGTCTTATTGGCGTTCACTTTCTTTTCCCTTTCTTTTAATGTCCTGTTCATTAATGTGACCAAAAATTTGTAACTTAGCCGCTGACGATGCAAATAATATAACTTGATCATCGGCATACAAAAGGCATTTGATGGTTAACTCACTCATTCTTAACCTGCATTCTTCATCTTTTAAATTTTCCAAACAACTGTCCATAAATAGGTTAACAATCACGGAGAAGCCACACAGCCCTGTCTGTGTGGCTTCTCCGTGGTCCTCTCCCACACACACCTTTATGGATGCCAAACCAGTCCGAGTAGACTCTGTTGATCCTAATACAGGCACTAGAATCCCTATAAAGAGACTTCAATGCCTGTATTAACCCAGCGCTCAACTAAAAAACTCAAAAACTTCTTCGCGGTCATGCGCATGGAAAAAACTTGATCTGTACATCCTATTCCCTTTCTAAATCACGCTTGTAAATCCCAATTTTTCCATTAGATTCTTGTTTAACTCTTTCATTTAGTACCTTATTATACAGTTTTCTCAGAATGCTAAGAAGGCTGATACCACGGTAGTTTTTACAGTCCTGCTGTGACCCTACTATTACGGCTTTGCACCAGTCTTCCTGTACCCGCTTCAGTTACCTGCATAAATTAAACAATGTGTAGAGCAGCCCTGCCACCATTTCCTTTCCAGCCCTGCCACAATTTCCTCTCCAGCCCTTAGCATTTCGAGTGAAACTCTATCATATCCCGCTGCTTTACCCGCTTTAATCCTTTTAATTGCTTTCATTATTTCATCTTTACTTATCTCCCTATCTCTTTTTTCTTCTCTTGTAATTTCTATTTCATTTAATTCACACATATCCACACTCATAAACACGCTTTTAAAATATCCCTTCCATTTCTTTAAACTCAAAACTTCATAATTCAGGATACAGCCATTCTCGTCTCGCCTCATTTAATCTAGGCTGTTTTGAATATCCCTAGGCAGTTCTTACGAGTTTCCAGTACATTTTAATATTTGCCTGGAAGTTATCCGATATTTTTCTGTCATTCTTATCAATTCTTTCTTGATTTTTCCTTTTAACTACTTCTTTTACTCTTTTATTTAGACGTCTAAAGACTTTTTTTTTTCAATATAATCGTTCGTACTGCCAGAATTACTGGCCTTGGTCAGTGGCGAAGCTTCCATAAAAGCCGAAAAGCCGGGCTTGCCTTATTAAAACTGAATCAATCAACAATGTCTTTATCAATCAATAATATCAACTAATAAAATAACTCATAATATGTTTCAAATTATTTCAATTTTCTTGCGCACTCCACTGTTCGACATATTTCGACCGATGACCTCGTATTGCCTTAGCGATACGTTTATACAAAGGTACTCTGTGGCGATACTGCTGCTGTCATAAAGTGAGTTTTAATAGAGCGATTAGTTGTCTCCCTCGCTCGCGTGGGCTTTTTACGGGGCTTACGAGAAGACGATCGCTCTCTTTCTAACCTATGGCAAAATATTCTATAATGAAATATAACTACGAAATGTTTATATAGCAATTACTATTGAGCCAACAAGCCTGGCTTTGCCATGAAGTTGTTTAGGAGTGCGTTAGCGACTAGCCAAGTGGTTGCGGGCCCCTCGTATGCAAGTTCACTTCACATTTCAATGTTTATGTTTGTTTTTGTTGTGTTTGTTAAAAATTTATGCTTTTTCGAAGATTTTCAGTGAAAATGGGAGAATAATAGTGTTCATTGTGATGAATATAAGTGTGTTGAAGTGCTAATCGGCGAGGAAAAGATAAAAATCTTTAAAAATGAAATTTAATATTCAATTAACATTTCTTCATACTTTAAATATAGGACTCTTTAGTATTAAAGTTTAATTAAGCTAGGCGTATTTAAAGGTTTAATAACTCAATATTTATATTACCATATGAATTAAAAATATCAATTTGAACAGCAGCATAAAGTATGAGACCTAGGTTTAATTTTAGAGGAAATAAGTGTTATCTTCTTTTAATGTGAAGCCCAAATTTTAATTAAATAAATCAAAAGAATACCGTAGAATGTATTGAGGTTTTTAAATAATAGTACTCCCTTTAGTTTTTTCCAGTTAGGTTTCTCTGTGTACTTTTCAGTATATAAAATTTTAATGGCGCCATCTACTTAATTCTATAGGTAAAGTCATTTTATCGAACGAAAATTGGTGATTCTCACGATGGTACCTAAATATTACGCTAGATGGCACAAATACGCTATCGGATAATTTATAGTGATATATGAGTTTAAAAATATCATTTTGTACGGTTTATTATGAATTGAAAATGAATAATTATAATTATAATAAATAGTCATTATTTTATGGTAAAAAATTAGCAAAGCTTTATCTTCTCATTATAACTATCTAATTCCTGTCGTAATCTTTTCTTTTATCCATATAACTTAAACAAAATATAATTTCGAGGTTTCACATCTGCCAGGCGTCCCTTTTTTTAACTTTGTACATAGTTTGTTTGTACTTTGTTCATGATTTTCTTTTGTTCATGTATTGTATTGTTTGTAAATATCTCAAGCAAACCCAAACGGCTCTTTTCAAAACCACCGAAGGTGTGCAATTGCATATTATGTCATACAATCTATCTAGCGGTAGTATACTTTCTGGGTGCTTTGTTAAACACGTCCTTGTCAGCACTGAATATGAAACTAAAGAGTGGAGACAGCTCAAGATTGGTGTATTTTTATTAAACTGCTAAAAACAACAAAACCATATCTTGGGCTTGCCCTAGTTTGGAGCCCTAGCTTCGCCACTGGCCTTGGTTGGTAGTAAATCTAGCCATGTTTTCTTCTCTGCTTGAACTTCCATACGTACCTCATAATCCCACCATAACGTATTATTATTCTTTTCATTCTTTCTCTTACTAACACCACATACTTCGGTGGTTCATTCACATTCACACACATTCTCCAAATCTAACTCATTCATACACAATTTGCCCAAACCACTTATATTTTCTTTCAGTCCACATTTGCACTTGTTTTTCACACCTTCATCTTGTAACCCCTGTGTTCTAATAGGTTGTTATGCAATGGTAGACACAGATGTCCGATGCCGCCAACGTCTGAATACGCCATTAATTCGGCATAAGACCAAGTAATGATCCGTCCCTACGTTGGACCCCCGGTAAACCCTTGTATCTAACACTGCGCTCCTCATTCTTTCATCCACAATTATGAAATCTATCATGCTTCTATCATCACCTTCCATGTATACATATGAATCTTCTTATGACGAAAGAAAGTGTTCGTCACAAAAAGATTATTTACCACACATATGGTGAGGAGACTTTCTCCATTCTCATTTATACTGTCATCACCAAACGTTTGCAAAATCCTTTCATAACCAAGCCTCTTCACCCCAACCCTTTCTAATTCCCTAACATAACAACATTTTCATTTCCCTTACATTTTATTAACACCATCCTTACCATCTCCCAAAACTGCTCTCGGATATAAGTGGGCTTGGACATGTCTGGGGCGTAGACCGTAGATTAAATAACTTCCTTAATTCCACTTTAATTCGTATCCATAGCAGTCTCGGGCTCACACATTCATACTCTTTCACACATTGACCATTCTTTCTGAGAGGATGATACCGACTTCCTGGCATGCCCACTCGGTCTCACCTACGTCAGACCAGTACGCGGTATAGATGCCATGAGTAGTACTGCCCTTTCTCTATATACTACACTACTACACATACTTTCCTTTCTCCTCCTTTATTCCTGTATCATACATCATATCGTATGCTTCATTCATCTTATCATTCATTGTACCACATACATTCAGCGTAGCCAGACGGGCTTCTGCATTCCACTTCTCATTCCTCCGGGAAACAGAAACGTAACGGGGGGAGAACCTCGTCGCCGGTTTTCTCCCGGAAATTCTTCGCACACCTGCCCCATTAAAGGGGCGCCAGGAACTCGGGACCATTTCTTTTCTTCCTTTCCTCTTGGTGCGAAACTGTGGCGTGGTATATTTTACGCCGCTACCACAAGGCGAGGAGCCGAGTCTGTACTTTCGGATTGTCGCTCGTTTAGCACCACCCGGGGGACACACGTAGTGTGGGCCTAGGATTGGGTAGTCGAAGCCCACGGACGCGAGTGACTTATCCCCCGTTTTAAACTTATATTCAAATATATAAATCAGGATATATGTTTATTGCAGTTTTTGTAAATACGAGTAAATTAGACTTCTACTTTTATTTGAAATTATCCCAAATTGAATATTATTTATGGGCAACAACGTTTTTGCCTACCGATCGACCCTTACGAATGTGTGCGTGCGCAGTAAAATCTGTTAAAATAATGCATTACCACGCATTTTGAATTTAAGGACAGAATGTTGAGATTTTTTTTATTAATTTTTCTTCACTATTTGCCTATACTTATTCTGAACCTTCTCTGCAAATTTGGCAGTTTATTGTAAAATAACCCTGTAAGTATTATGGTTTTATAATAATTGTTTTATATTTGTTCTTTTTTTTACAGTGATGGCGCCGGTCGCACTGGTACATACTGCTTAATTGACATGGTTTTGAATCGCATGGCGAAAGGCGCTAAGGAAATCGACATCGCGGCCACGCTCGAGCACATCCGTGACCAACGCCCTCGCACGGTTGCCACCAAACAACAGTTTGAATTTGTGCTGATGGCGGTGGCTGAAGAGGTAATTTAATGTTTGAAAATATTTTAAAGTCTTGTTTGGAAATATCTCAATAAAAATCGTTGATATAAAATTACAATCTATCTCATCAAAAATAAACTAAATCAATAAGTAAATATAAAATAATGTTTGTACATATTTGTTTTTATAAAGTTACATTTCCATCGTCACCAAGGTACATGCGATACTCAAGGCTCTACCGGCTCATTTGCAACAACTGCAAGAAAAGAAGGAAAAGGAGAAAGAAAAAGACAAGGACGCTACTGAAAAGGAGAAACCTAATTGAACTACGCACCGCTTTGGCGAACTCTGTTAATGAAAAATTTCAGTTTATTTGAATATAATTGAATGAATTGTGTAAGTTTGATCAATGTTTCTGGGTTGAGAATTTCCATTTAACATCGTATTTTAAAGAGATAGACTTAAATATAGGCCATTATTTACAATTTCTTCGTCATTCAAGTTTGCACCAAATGACACAATACTAAACGGGTTGTAATCGTGCTCAGAGTGTAACGTTTGTGTGGACTACTGTTACTTTATGGCGGTGTTGTTAGGCAGGACATCTGAGGGTGACAGGCTGTGGCTGCCACATGTCATCCTTGTGAACATCTGCTACTTGTTGAGGCTGGTACGGTTGAGTTTGCGAGCTTTTACTTAATATTATTTTATTAAACATGTTTTACTTGCTTATTTGGTATGTGCATTTTCATTATTATAAACTATTTACTTTTTTCTTTAATGTGACGTTGATATCACCAGCTATAAAACGAAAAAAAGAGGATACCTGCGGAGTTTCTTTTGTCGGTAGGTATTATAATTGTTGGTCTGTCTTACATGATCGAATAGAATTGAATTCATAGGCTGATCATCATTATGGATCCAAGCGGACGGAGTCAAATTTTTACATTGGGTAGGTAAGTAGTGTGTTCAAAAGACGAGTCTTGCCGAGACGAGATTGCGCCAATCTAACAACAATAGTAAACAAACAAATCATGTAAGACAGACCAACAGTAATAATACCTACCTACATAAAAATACTCGCCGAGCATAACATTATATAACGGGTGGTGCCTAACTGGCTCTGTCGTCTACTAGACGTAAAAGTGACTGCTGACCATGTAGTCCCTTGCTGAATCCCTAGTCTAGAAAAAATTAGATACCTACTTAATGATAAAAAGGTTTTCTGTCAAGAAATTCTCATTAGCAGCCCGAAATAGACGATAGAAAATTGGCTATGTTTCACCCCCGTGTCTTGGAAAGCATGTAAAGCAGTCTGTCTTCCGCTTGATCTCGTAGTACTTTGTACGATCCAGATATGCAGTATTGATGTTAAATTACAAATCAATAGAAATCAGTGTTCGTACAACCATATTTATTATTTTTATTAATTTTCAAAATTAATAAAGTAATCAGTCTCAATAATTAAAAAAAATATCACAAAACTTAATATTGCCATCAGGTTCTGGTACTCGTCTGGTTCATAGTTTCATTATCATAAATATTGGTGTAATTCTTCCTATCCTAGATTCCCTCTTTATAATTTTTTTGCAACCTGTACAAAGGTGTGGTATCAAAGTTGCTTGAAAAATATTATTATTTTATAATCCCTACGAAGAGGAGAAAAAATTACTTTTGGATTTGCCTGTTGATCACAATTGTAACCCAAGTGGACGGAGCCCATTTCTTAACTTAATCATCTTTACCAAAATTTTATTAAGTGTAAGATTGTCGTTAGAAATTCTCAGCCTAGATATCTTCATGTAAGTGTATTTCTATGCTTAATGCTACTACTATGTTGTTTGATAGTATGAATATTTGCGCCAATATTTCTTTATATTCTCGACGGATATTGTTAAATATTGAGACAGCGAACTTTTACAGACAAAAAGCCTAAGGACGCTGCGTTAAATTTTTACTACTCATACTCTATTTATTTTTATACCAAAATAATGTACATTTTTTCACATTTATTTGTTGTTTCTTTTTCTTTAATCTTATTAATAACATTATTAACATCATAGTCAATTGTAAAGGTGTCTAATATATCAGACATTTTATTATTATTTTCTAAGTGCATACCAATAGAATTTTATAAATTATAAAATTAAGTTATTTACGTGAAACGTATTGCCACCTATGTACCTGTAAAACTATCATTGGAAATAACTTCTTGACTATTGAAAACGAAAATAACTATTGATAACGAATTAGTCACACAATACATTTTACAGGAAATATATCAATACGGTCCTAAGCATAAATATATGACTTTTTGTTGTGCATGTAATGCGTAAAATTTATAACATATTCATCTTGGTACAATACTTCTACTTACAAATAATTATTGTGTATTTACAAAGGCCAACATTTACGTCTATTTAAGCACATGCAGTTTAATGGTATTGTAAAACTTTGTTAAATAACGTAGTTTATATGGTATTTTAACACCGTGCTGTGACACGGTGAAACCATTGTAACGTATAATTACTTAAATGTTAAAAGCTCACAAAATGAATTATATAGAAGAACTATCTGAATCATATCCTAAATAAACGGAATACCTGATAGAATATAATCAGATAATTGAAATCTTAATATTTACAGACTAGCAGAATCAATAGAAATCTTGAAATGTATCAACGTATGAGATTTATATTAGATTATATTATATTTATTGCAATTATGGGAAAATATAAAAAAAATATGACTTACCACGAAATTATGAATGTAGTATAGAATTAAGAGAAAATATATTAACCGTATTTCTGTATGAAATTATATGTAGTTTTTATGTGGATTATTGAAAATGGATTTTGATTATTAAATCTGTTTTAGGGGACATAAAACAAACATTCACTACCTTCTTCCCTTATCCTCGAGAAATTTTAGTACATCCCACTGTTGGACACAAGCTTCCCCTCATTTCTGAGAGGGTTTTAGGGCAAGGCAGTGTTCGCCGCGCTGCCCCAATGCGTGTTGGTGAACTTCACATGTATTCGAAGTATTTATTTTTTTATTTCTCAGACATGCAGGTTTTCTCACGATGTTTTCCCTCAAAGCCGAGCACGTGGTAAATCAGCACCTAAATTTGCATTTAATGATTTTAATGGTACCGGCGGGGATCGAACCCGATTTGCTCGCGTACTGTGAAATTTACAGCAAGCGCTAATCATGTGAGCTACCACGGCCCTCTGAATTTTATATTTTGAATTTTAGAATTTTATAAGACATCAAAAAACCTACTAGTCTGTCTGACGTTGAATTATGCATGCCTGCAACTCATATTACGTAAGCTAAATATTTAGATGTTATATGTAAATACCCGACGCACGTGTAACATGACTTCTGATATAAAACTAGAACTCCACAATCAATAGATATCATACGACAGATCTATCTTTATTTGTTTTATTCGCTGATAACTTCATTGTTTCGATATGCATACTTGTTTCATTAGTCCTGAGTGTGAAGCCTTTCTGAATTCAATAATTACTTATACGAGCAATTTTTGGTGGAAAAACCAAAATAAATTTCGTTCACTCGGAGTAACTCTAAAAATAGTGTAACAGTGAAAATTTACCTTATCCTTCTGTTTGCACCGATTATGCTTTCTCGATTTTATTTAAAAAAAAGTTACATCCAAACTCTGCATCGTGGAGGCACACACACACATACACACACACACACACACACACACACACACACACACACACACACACACACACAGCACAGCACACGCACACGCACACGCACACGCACACGCACGCGCACGCGCACGCACACGCACACGCACACGCACACGCACACACACACACACACACACACACACACACAAATACACACGCACACACACACCCACATACACACCCAAAGGAACTGGTATACTGAGGAACGCGCATATAAGCATGGAAATGAAGCACCCAATCATCATTCCACACGCAAATAATTTCACAGGGGACCAAGACTAATAGCATCATTTATTCCTCAGCAGTACTGGATCGTAGGGGACACCAGGGCTACTAAGAAGCGCTTACGACAGTGTGTGGTGGTTTGTAACAAGCAAGCAGCATCAACTCTTGAGTGACCTACCTAGTGCCAGAAGTAACCCATCTCGCCTGTTTTCTCACACAGGATTGGATTATACCAGCTTCATCATGATCAAAAACAGTAAAGGGCGAGGCATCAAGTGTACCAAGGGATATGTAGCGGTATTCGTGTGCATGGCTACCAAAGCCGTGCACTTAGAACTAGTACCGGACCTAACGACGTCAACATTCTTAGCGGCTTTGAAGAGGATGGCTGCCAGACGGGGACCGCCAAGTCACATTTATGGTGATAATGACACCAACTTCGTTGGGGCAAGCAGAGTCCTAATACAAGAATACCAAGAAAATATATCGATCATCAACCAAGATAATCCAGAGTTTATGCAAGAGATCACAGACATGCACATGCAGTGGCCTTTTAACGCCCCTTTCTGACTCTCAGCAGGCGGGTTATGGGAGGCAGCCGTTAAAAGTCTAAAATATCACCTGAAACGCATCATCGGTGAACAGAGACTGAGTTATGAGGAGTTCACCACCATACTGTGCCAACTAGAAGGCTGCTTAAATGCAAGGCCTTTGTGCGCCATGAATGAAGACCCCGACAACCTGGACTATTTGACGCCAGCACACTTCCAAGCAAGTGGACCTGTGTTGACGATATTTGATACAGTACAAGATCTACGAACAAGATGATACCTTTGTCAAAAAAAATCAACGACATATGGAAACGATGGCATGAACATTGTGATGGATATAGATGAAATGTCAGAGTACTTGACTCAACTAAATGTACACAGCAAGTGGCAAAGGGAACAAAGAAATATCAAGATCAACGACGTCGTTCTCGTCCACGAAGACAACTTACCTCCAGGACGGTGGGCGATGGGTCGCGTCGTCGAACTTCCTCCCGGTTCTGATGAGCAAGTGAGAGTGGTCACAATGAAAACCTAGAATGGCTACCTCAAAAAGTTGATAGTGAAATTATCGCTACTACCTGTAAATCAAGACTCAGATTTCAGCAATAATAACACAAACAAACCATCATTAATCAAGAACTATCAACAAACAAGAGCGCCTCAACCTGTTAAGTATGGAAAGGTAGGAATGGAAAAACCTGTTAAGGAAGAAATCCGTTAAATAAGGGTGGCGTCACTATAACTACGGGGTATACTTTAAAGAATGCACCGAAATATATTAGTGGGATAGACGACGTTTTCGAGGTTATATTTACTAAATA